GCATAAAATTGAAATGAGTTTTGGCCACCACACTTACGCGCAAACGCATTTCACAATGAAATTTACATAGCCGTTTGGCAGGCGGTCGCTTCACTCGTTTCGTGCTAATTGATACACGCGCCAAAGCTTTTGCCCCCTTCAAAATGTCCACATACATACACACACACACACACATACCAGGACAGCAACAACAACAACTCTTTCATAAATTTACACCTGACTTAAGCACTTGACGATCGATTGAAAATGAATGTTCATTGAAATGGTGTGCAGCTCATACACATCAAATGACACAGCGTTCACATGCTCATTTCCTTTGTCTGTATATGTGAATTCGTTCGCACATAGCCGTTCGTCCGTGCGTCCCGCTCGTTTCGACGCTCTCTCAATCGATACAATGTCCAGTTGCAATTTCAATTTTCTTGCACTATCAATGTTTCAATTAATGGAATGATGTGGCATTCATGCCGACCCATAACAAGCTCTCTCTCTCTCTCTCTCTGTCTTTCTCTCACTCCGTCGGACTTATGACGAGATTATGAAATGAATCTGTCAAACAGCAAAATAAATTACAGCATCCCTAAAATATTGTTCAAACGATGGTTTGGCTAAGCCATTATCGTAATCCCCTATGATGGTGCATTTTGTGTGTTAAATTCCTCTGTGAATTAAAACAAAATCCAACTTGAGCACACACACACTCGTTGCCATTTGCATCCGGATCATGCAGCAGTAGCAGCATTACATCCAAATGGCCCAGTGACTAACAGATGAAGAGAACAGAACCGAACTGAACACAGAGGGGAAAAAAAATCAAATCAAGGTTAATTTGATTTTGGTTTTCTTGAATTATCTCGTTCTTACTCGTTCACGTTAAAAACAATAATTGAAACGAGTAGAAAATAGTTAGCGCGCACAAACCAATGCTGCTGCTTACTTTGAGCCAGCGCGTGTAAGTGAGCGAACAAGCCGACAAGTGAGCGCTCGCGCACAACACAAATTGTGACACGGTGCGGCCATTCTAAGCGAAAAATGCAAACAAGTTGCTTGTGATGACTGTAAATGACTTGAGTGCGAATTCTAAAACTACTATGTACTGTACAGTGCGTTTTGAAGCGTAGTTGGGCATGACGTGTATGTGTATGATACAAATGTGCACAACACAATCGTTTGTATGACAACCTTTGGTGTCGCTTGAAGAACACTAAATGAAGAAAAAAAAACAGAGAGACAAACATGAAAAAGCATCGCCTGTCAAACATAAATAGCTAGAGCCGAAAAAAAAAGAATAATAAATGAAGAACGAAGAATAAGAAGCACATATGAAACCGATTTTTTTTTTCTACTTCGCTTGAAGAAGAACAAGCACATGACACTGTCAATTATCTAAATAAACAGATATAATCATTTGCATTTTGTTGTGCATTTAAACGGTGAATTGTAGTGACCGACCAATCCAAAAAAAAAATAGATTGAACGAAATAAGAAAGTATCAAAATATTTGCCCATTATTCGTTTGGCCATGTTCGTTTTATTTATTTTTTTTCTTCGGGGGAGTCTCATTAGATCGCCACAACAACGAAAATATTTATGTCAAATATTTAATTGAACATTGATTTCACATCGAGTCAGGCCAATGCCATTTTGAGGTTTGTGGAACGAGTTGCGTGCTAAAAATCATAAATCAAATTCATCAATCAAGCAAAAATTGTCTCGCAAAAATTGATTCAATGTGAATTCGAAATGATGTGCGTCGTAGTAGTTGACAATCTAAATGTGTTTTTCATCAAATGCAAATTAGAATGTGCTTCCCGTTCACAATCAAGTGGAAGAAAGTGATGAATGCGCGACGATGCGACCATTACAAGTGTTTTTATCGCTCAAGAGATAGATCTCATTCCAAGCGAAACGAATCGAATCATATTCCACTTGCTGTGTGCGAAAACTAACTATATATAAGCGGCAAAAGCATTTTTTCGTTGTTTCATTTTCGTTACATTTATCTCTTTATTACGCCATGGATCACAACGAAATTTTTCACTAAGCCAACACCCGATTTCGGTTGCAAACAATCATTTAAATTTATTGACTCCATAGCAAATGCGTTCCGATTTCTTTGATTTGGCCATTTCGCTTTCTTTTATGTAACACATCTGTTAAGGTATTCACGAATAGTTTTTTCTTTCTTCTGCGTTCTTCTTCTTCTTCATTCGTCTATTTTTTCGTTGGCCCGTTTTTGTTGTGCGTTTGCCGCGTTGAGCTCCTTAGCTCGCTTAGATTTAAATAAATTATTGTAAACATATTTTTGCAGCTTGTTCGCGATGAACGAGTGTGTGCACATAAAAGTGCGCTTAAAGACTGTGTCGGTCGCATGAAGTGCAGAGATGGGCTACGTTAGCAGAGGTGGACCAGCTAAACAGTTGAATATTCGGTTGAAAATGCGCCTTCAACCATCCGACTGCACAGGCCTTTTCTGTTTATCGTCGCCGTCCGTGTCGAGTACAATCCGATCCACACACACACACACAAATACACTCGCCATTCGGCGCTCATGTGATTCCGAAGCAGCGTGGCCATGGTGTCCCACCTCTGTACTCGACTGTGTGCGTGTATGTGATGTGCCTGTGCACAAAAGCTTAGTTTTTTTTCTGTGTCATGGTCATCAACTAAACCTCGTTTAGTTACATTCAAATACGACGTAACTTTGTAAATTCGCCCGCGTATTTCTAATTCACCATTCACAATGCATATGTTGAGTGTGATTTTTTTTTGCTTCTCTCATTTCAATTTTTTTACTGCTGCTGCCGCTGCTTTGCTCGTATTTATCTTATGGGATTTTCCCACTCTGTCACTTGCTTGCTCGTGTGCGCGCACACAATCCTAAATGAAACTTGCATTTTTTTTCAATCGTTTGTTTTTTTTTGTTTTAAATTCTCTTTCATCATACACACATCCATGATTCTCTCGCCATGCGATATGCTTATCATTGCAAACAATGAAAATTCAAATGATTTGGATTTTTCTGTTTTATTCTTCTTTTCACTCTCTCTCTCTCTCTCTCTCTCTCTCCCACTTTGTTTAATTTAAAAATCAAAATCATTCATTTTGATGTTTATGGCTAATAATTTATTGAGGGAAGAGCAAATGGAGAAATAGAGAAAAACAAAATTAGATAATAAATGATATTCTTTCCCGATTAGATAATGAGGCAGCGAACGACCAATTTTTTTTAGTTGACGTTGTTGTTGTTGCACAGTTTTTATTCCATCAATAGTAGAAAAGAGCTCAACAGATCGACGGGCTTGATTATACAGCGAAAATGTGTGCATTGATATCAAGTCACACACTGGTATTGAAACACTATTTGGAGTGTGTGACATTACATTCCGAGAAGAGAGAAGCAAATAGAGAAAGAGAAAAATGAACGAAACGCAAGAACACTTGATCTTGGGCGATTTTTTGGCGTCGTTGTTTTTATGATGAAAAATTCGTTACACATGTATGCGTAGTGCACTAGTGACGCCAGCATTTCAATAAAAAGTTATTTTAACGGATTTCAGTATGCAACCGTAACAACAACGTAACGATATATACACACACGAAAAAAAACACTTAATTGCTCTAAATAACATCAAGTTTCAATCTTTTTTTTATGTGTTCATTTTGTTTTCTGTCCGACTGCCATTCTTTTTCAATTTTGACTGTGGCTGTTGCGCCACAATCGCGCACACCGCGTCGTGCCGTAATTAAAGTTTTCATTTCCAATGATTTGCACGCGCGTTGATTCTCTTCCCTGTGTGTGCTCTCTCGCAGAAAATAACAGAACAAACAGAAAAATCACAAGAACAAAAAGTAGCTCATGTTCTTGCGCGGCGCGCAACAATGAAAGTGAATGGCCATAAACTAAATGATGATCAGGTTAATTGAAAAGAATAACACAACAGAAACGAAATTAAAAAAAAACAGCAGCAATAATAAGAAGAAAAAAACATTTATACGAATGATACTGTGGAAACTAATTGCATTTTAATTCGTCGGTTTATAACACGGCCAAATTCCACAGCGAAAAACGATTTTCATACAAAGATATGAAACTATTCCGAGAGGAATGGATATTCGATTGAAAATATAGAGGGAAAAAAACGCTATCATGCTTCGATTGTTTTCGAAATATGGGTTGTGTGTGCATTTTCAGAGGGGAAAAACATTTCTGATTATTGTGCACATGCTTCAGTAAATGATTTGTTTACAAGCGCTGACATTGTACTTCCAGTGGCATTCGAGTTGTGAACACAACAGTTTCGCATTTATAAAAATGACGTCATCTTTAATTGAGTGTAAGTGTTTGGACGGCTTTTTATTCGAATCAACCATTAGAAGTACGATGTAAATGTCTTGGGTAAAAAACGATGACAAAAAACCATTCTCTCTCTCTCTCTCTCTCTCTCTCTCTCTTAAATCATACTAGTTGCCTTTTTTTACATTCTGACAGTAAATCTGTCAGAAGTACACTCTGAAACTACAAAAAGTGTTGTCTGTCAATCGAACTCTACTTGCAAATCACATTTTATTATTATTATTATTATCGAACCAACCATTCATTTGCTTCTTGACAATTCAGCTTGAAAACCAATCACAAAAACCATTACATCGACAAATCGTTCTCATTCATTGACGTTATTCCATTGGCATTAGTTAGGGATCATCATAATCAGTATGCTCATCGGTCGAATTTAAAAACAGAAAAGAAAAAATAATAATATTAATACAACCATAACCTGTGACCAAATGTCATTTTGTGCATCGCAAAAATCGTATGACAGTTTCAAATTCAGTTCATCTGTCAGTGTAGATATATCGTTCATTTTTCCATTGCACGCACCAAACAAAACCAAAAAAAAAATTCATAATGAGTAGCCATGAAATTTGGGGAAAAGATCTGTCAAATGCCGCACAAATCAATTTCAAACAATGTATATTAATTGCAAATATTCCTATTGTTGAAGGTGGAGATGCGACGTACCATTTCAAGACGCTCGTTCCGGCCGTGGCCGCCGGAGCGATTATCGGGAAAGGTGGCGAAACGATTGCGGCCATCCAAAAAGAGACAGGTGCACGTGTTAAAATGTCCAAATCACACGACTTTTATCCAGGTAAATTTATCGACATTTCACATTTTAATTACATAATCGGTGGCGGCGATGATGATGATGATGATAGTAGTGAATGAGTTAACGTTAGCGTGGCAGTGTGACCATTCGAACAATAAAGTGACAGAGAATGAGTCCAATGTAATAGTCGAATCGCAGCCAATATATTCATTGTAGTTATAAATAGGTCAACGCAAATGAATAAAGTGATTCGATTTGTTTTAATGGCTCACGACGACGCTAATTTTAAGCTCAGGAAAAGCCGGCATACATTTTCAACCTGTGTACGCTTTCATTTGATGTGATTCAATGTAACTAAAAATGTTCTTTCTCTCTCTCTCTCTCTCTCTCGCTGTCTCCGCTCCGTGGGGCAACAGGTACACAGGAACGTGTTTGTTTGATTACCGGCTCGATTGAATCAATAATGACCGTATTAGATTTTATAATGGACAAAATACGGGAAAAACCAGATCAAACACCAAAATTGACCGACATCGAAACGAAACAAGCTCAAGAACGGGACAAACAAGTGAAAATTCTTGTACCAAACTCAACGGCTGGCATGATAATTGGCAAGGCTGGCGCATACATTAAGCAAATCAAAGAGGAAAGCGGTTCGTATGTACAAATATCGCAAAAACCAAAGGATATAACGCTGCAAGAGCGTTGCATTACGATTATCGGCGATAAGGAAAACAATAAAGTGGCTTGCAAATTGATATTAGCAAAAATTATGGAGGATCCATCGTCGGGAACATGCTTGAATGTATCGTATGCCGATGTTAATGGCCCGGTAGCCAATTTCAATCCAACTGGATCACCATATGCGGCCAACCAAACAACAATTAGTTCAAGCACTGCGTCACTTAATTCAACTCCGTCACTTAGTGCACCAAATCTCCTGGTTAATGGTAGCGGCATTAATTTATCATTAAATCTAGGACCAACGAATAATTCAAACCCAGCACTTAACACACAAATTATAGATCACATCAAGGTAAGCTTTTCCTTCTTTCTCCATTCCACTGGAGAAAAAAGCCGAAACCAAAACCAATCAGATTAAATTTGTAGCCCTTTGTTCGCAATAATTGCGACTCATGCGAATTGCGATGCTAATCGGTTGTTTGCTCTCATTTCCATTTCATGCACGAACACACGAACAGGTTGCCATGCGAGGATTTGGTTACTTAGAGCCGGTTTTAAATGAAGTTGCAGCAGCTTTAGGAATTCTTGCCAAATACGGGTCGCTTGGGGTCGGAGTTGGTTTGACACACACCAATGGCACGACCCCAATCAGTTATTTGAATGTAACACCATTGGAACAGAGTGTGACTGCAAATAGTGTATTCGGTGCCATCGGTCAAGTCAATTTAGATTCATTTATTGGCGCAACATCGCCAACGCCACGCGCATCCATCGATCGCTTTGAAACCACACAGTTCGATCCATTTCGTCATGCAGGACAACAAGCCGCTGCACCAATTTCAATAAATACAAACACCTATGGCCTGGCGACAAATTCATCGATCGGTGCTGCTGCTGCTGCACAAACACTGGGTGGACTAAGCAAGAGTCCAACGCCAGCCGATGTTGGCCTACGCGATTCGAAATCCGTCGAAGTTGCCGAAAGCATTGTTGGCGCTATTCTAGGTAAGAATATTCAGTCTTTTTTTGTGTTTCGTTTCCGAAAATCGCGTGAATTGTTCTCGATTCACCGAATTTACATTTTAATTGCTATTACCATAGAACAACATTTTATTTATTTTTCCGAAATGAAAACAAAAACAATCTGATTCAATTGGGTCTTCTTTCTATCTATCCGTTCGGCTGAATCACAAAAAAATCGCAACACAACAACAGGTCCAAATGGAAGCAGTTTGATTGACATCCAAAACAAGAGTGGCGCAACAATTCAAATTTCGAAAAAGGGCATGTTCGCACCCGGTACAAAGAATCGTATAGTCACTATTAGCGGTGCACCGAGCGGCATTCAACTGGCTCATTTTCTCATCGAGCAAAAAGTAGCCGAAGAGGAGACGAAACGACGCAACCAAAACACATTAACAGGAATTCCGGGTATCATGCAATAGGGTTAAACGAAACAATTTCATGTTTTAAAAAAGCTCTCGCCATTCGCAACGAGCTTTGACGAAACGCTACGAGCGAAACGAACATAAAGAAACAAAAAAACAACAACAACAACCGACGAAGAAGAAATATATAAGTTGAAAAGTTGAAAAAGATCACACAAAACAACAACAACAACTACAACAGAAATATAAAAAACAAATGATACGCAGAAATAATCAAAGAAAAGAAGACGAAAAAGGAATGAGTAACGAATAAAGAAAAATAAAGAGAAGAAGAGATATAAGTTCGATGATGAGGATAATTGTTTTTATTTTCATAAAAAGTGTGAAAATTTTAGTCATGCATAGATCAATGCAATCGGCATGTACGACAAGTGTATGTGTTACCTATTCATTTTTCGATGGTCAGAGACAGTTGATATACAAATACTATAACTAAAACAAGAACAGAATAATAATTATAATAAATGAAAACAAACAACAACAACAAAAATACTAATTAAAAATAATAATAATTGTTATTAATGTAGTTCAATGCATAGCCCAAAGTATGCATAAACATTATATTTTTTGACAACAGAGTAAAATATTTTAGATTTTTATTATAATTTTTTTTCTTCTCTTTTTTGTTTTGTTTTCTTTTTCAAACAATTTTAATGAAAATCACATGCATATTTTTTATCTTGAATAAATCTTCTTTTATTCTTTTTAAAGATAGTGAATAACCGAACCATTTTTATTTTTATTTTTTTATCATTTAATTCCGTTGTAATTGAGTTTTTTTTTTTCGTTTGTCGGTAGGGCAAAATGTGTTATGCATAGAAAAAAAAAATGAAGAAGAAAAACATTCTCACATCCACAGTTGAATACAAAAAAAAACACACAAACACAAACACCATTCATTGACTTACGTAATAATTGTTCAGTTTGAAAATTGTCATTATGCTCATTAGAAGAAAAAAAACAGCAAAAACAACTGCAATCATTTCTTTAGAACTATGTTGACACTTTTCCCATTCGAAAGAACGTTAAAAATGAATAATAAAATAAAATATGATGAAGAATCCAATTTGTTTCAGGCATAGTTTTAGTTAGCTGTACATTCAAAAATTAAAAACAAAAAACTGTCAAATGCAAAACATGTGTGTATATATTTGCAAGTTGCAAAGTTAGATATGCTTAAAAATGTACATTTTTAATCGTTTTTGTTGATGAAATGAAGAAAAAAGGAAGAAAGTGAAGTGGATAAAATCCAAAAATGATGAATTAGGCATATATGTTGATTTAAATTCATGTAAATGTTCTCACTAAACACATTCAATTTTTTTTTTCTTCGGCGTTTGCCATCTTCGACTGGCTGGCCCAGCCGCTGTTTGCTGGCCCCCAGCCACGATGAATGCATTGCCAATCTATTCAATAGGAAGAGTCATTTCTGTTTATTTTGTTTTCATTTTTTTTTTTTTGCATATAGAAAAAACATAAACGACGAAGAAGAAATAAAAAGAAAATGTTATATTTATCTTATGTTGTTAATTTATAAAAGGTTTATGAAAGAGAAAAGAAAATCACACACACACACACACACACACACACGTCATAAATATATATAACTATATATACCAATATTCAAATTAGGTAATGCAACAATGTTAATTCTTTTTTGTTTTGTTTTCTCCAAAAAAAAAATCACTCGACATGAATTAGATCATCTTCACAACAACAACAAATATTGATTGTTACATTTACAATGAATGAAAAAAGAAAAAACTAATTACACATAAATAAACAAATCGAGTCACGCGCGCGCATTCACTTTAAAAAGAAACAAACAACAACAACAAAAAACATTTCGAGTAAAGACCTCACTTACTCACTCACCAAAACACACAACACACATACATATTTACAACATGTTTCCAAGTGAATCATTTCTTTTTTGCTGCAATATTTAAAATAATGAATGAAAAAAAAACAAACATTATAAACAAGAACCGAAACAAAGAATTGCAAACCAATTTACACAACACTGACGGGGACTCTACACTGCATCGTGGTCATGTGTCAAAATGTTATTTTATTATTATTATCTATTTTTAGTTGATTTAAGCAAAAGAACGACAGAGACAGAGTAAAGGAGAAACAATACATTGTATAGAAATTTAAAAAGAAAACACGTGAACATGAATTAAAACAACACACACACACACACATACACAGAGAGAAAATTTATTCTAAACGAGAGACAAAAAAAAAAATTTAATAAATTGTTTTAATAATTTTAACAAACATATATGATAAATGAAAAGGTGAAAAAAAAATTTGCGTGAAATTGAGACGGAACAAAATTAACTACAAAACATTGTGAGGGATTTAGTACGCCAAATTGTACTATTGATAGTAATTAATTAAAAAATGAAGAAAATAAAAAGCATAAAAAAGAGACAAAAAAATACAACAACAACAACAACAACAACAGTTATCTAGATAAGGATAAATTCATCTAAACAAAAAATGAAAGAAAAAAAAAACCATTAATAATTTCACCATACATCGTAAACTCGTGATGTTGTTTTTATAAATAGTAATATGTATAGAAATACAGGAAGAATATTACTGAAAATAATTAAAAGAAATAAATAAATTCTGATAGGTCTATTATAATTAAACACGTAATAAGAAATAGTACCGCAGTCGGGTTGGGGTAATTAAAAATGAAAACATGCGTTTAAGCTAAAACAACAACAACAACAAAAAATATGAATGTAGCTGTCTCTCAACATGGAAGCAAAACAAAAATAACATACATACACACAAAAACACATAACTGATCGATTATTTGATTAATGAGCCTAAATGATTTTCTACGAAACAATCACAAAGTTTAAGAGACAAATCAAAATTCGAATCAAAGAGTCAAAATAGGAAATATTCAACGATTTTTTTCCCCCGCTGCAAATGAGTTGTTGACACATTTTTTGTTCGATTTTTTCGTTGGACATTTTTTTCATTCTTTGTTTCCGTTCGATTTAATGGAACACAATACGAATTAGAGTGAAAAATTTGATGAAAATAACGATAATAAAAAAGACGAAACCATAAGTCGACAAATAAATTCCCATTAAATTTATAAAAAAATTAATGATTCTTGATTTTTGGATGAAAAAAAAAATCTACGCAAAATTCAAGCTCACAAATAGAAATTCAAGGTAAAAAAAAATGTCGATTCACGAATAGCATCATCTGTGCGGCAACATACGTCATCATGTCAATCGAAAAAGAGAGAAAAAGTAAAAGATATTACAAGAAAAAGATTTACGACAAAACAATGCGTCGAAATGCCTAATTGACATATAAACAAGTATTTTAGTTTCCATCATTCAATCGATATACACTTACAATGTGGTTATAGCCAATGAAACGAGATACAATTTAAGCAAAAACAATCGAATTAGTCGAAACAAGCAAAAAAAAAAATACTAAACAATTCATCGGGCGATACTGATTTTTTGTATGACTGTGTTGAAATAACTGAAAAAAAACCAACAATACGTTCTTTTTTCTTATTCTCATTTGGTTGAAAATTCGGGAAGGAAAAAAATGGAGAGACAAATAAATGCTTTCCGCTTCAATTAATTGGATCTGTAACACTTTCGAATATTTTTCCACCAAGACTAGCGTTCAATGGTGTTTGTGAGTAACGTTACGCTTCACAGTCCGTTTACATGATTTAACTTAATGGATATTTGACCATAACCAGGTCAATATTTTTCGTCTAGTTAAATGAAGTGCCATTAAATGTAAGCATTGAACTGTTTACCGCAAATGAATTGTCTCGTTGGTCACAAACACTGCACCCAGTACAACACAACAAAAGATGTTCATCGATCAGAGCAATTGAGAGATAGAGATAGAGACAGAGACACAGAGAGAGCAAGCGAGTGAATGGACCCGGGATAGTTGGAAAGAGTATTAGGAGATAGCTTTCAATCATTCGGTCAAAATTATCATTTTTCTTCGTTCGTTCTTTGTTTTTTTTTTAATTTAGAAATTCATGAAAGAATATTTCGAACGAATTTAAATTATTCAGTAATTTATAAAGACACACCAAGCACATAGCCACTATGATATGATTCATTTGACATAACGCGTTTCAATTTATCAGCCATCTAAAAAAAACCAAGCGAATCAATAAAACAACGTAGCCATTTTACATTTATTCGCCTTTATTGTTCAATTCAGTGAAACACATTTGAAAACGGGGAAACACATTGGAATCGTCAGTCCGTTGCATTGCGACTACTTCAAATCAATTTCCAACGATCACCAACACACATAAGCGCAATCGTCTAATATGTTTCTCCTCAAATCCAATTATAATTTTGTATCACCCCACACGAAAAAGCATCACAATTACCACCCTTCGTCACCGCCTCAAATTGTCACTTTTTGAAGATTTCAACAAACACTCAACAACAAACAAAACATCCATAAATAAATAAAAGACAAATAAGTTAAATTATTTCGCCTCATTTTGCAAATTTTACATTGTGGAGAAAACTTGAGAAGAGAGAGAAAAGAAAAGAAAAGAAAAACCAAAACCTGTAATGTGACGAAGAGCCGAACACGTTAATTTATAGATAGAATTACATCACTCTCGAAAATCAGCCATATCTGTTATTAATATACCTTGTAGTAAACGCGTTCATAGTGTTTCACTGTAGTAGCGGTGTATCCTATTAAATTTTCTTGTAGTAATACCACAGTGGAATTTAATAGGATACTTTGCTACTACAGTGAAACACTATGAACGCGTTTACTGCAAGGTATATTAATAACGGATATGGCTGATTTTTGGGAGTGATGCGAAGAGAAAATGTATTTAACGATTTTTTTTCGTTTTGTTGTTTTTTTTTCTTGGTTATTTTCTATTGTTGTGTCAAAGCAAAGAAACACATTCGAAGAATATGTGAGCAAAAAAAAGAAAGAAAGAAAAAAATAGTTACCTCTTTTTCCATTTTATTTGTCATCTTAGAAATGCAATGTTAATTGAATTTTAATTTAAATAAAAAAAAGTGAAAAGAAAAATAAAGCAAAAACAATTCTGTAAATAAGATATTTAAATATAAAAAATCTACCTATGGAAATATATATATATATTTTTTTTTTCGTTGTTTTTGACATGAAAACAATACAAATGGCATAATAAGAACATAATCGAAATGAGAGAAAACTAAAACACATTGAAACTATCTTTTATGTAATGTTCATTTTTTTCGTTGTAATCTATGTTGCTGTTATTGTATAGAGAAACAAAAAAAAAACAAAATGAATAATTTATAGGGTTAAAAAATTGTTTTCATTTCTTTAATACGATTTCCGTTTCTTTCGATTTTGCTTTCCCATTTGTTCCATTGAATTTCGTTATTCCATCTCATGTCCTTTCTCAACTTTCCTCCCAAATTCGAACACATCGACTACGATTGAGCTCCTCCTCTTTACTTTTTGAAAAGGTCCTTTATGCCCATGAGTCATTTGTCGGAAACTTTTAAGCAGAAGAGCACCAAAACTCACGATCAGTTTTGCGATCACGGTTTAATGTGAACGATGAAAAAAAAAAGAAAACGAAAGAATGTGTGAAAGGATTTTGATCGCCAAATGCAAACATATTTTAACTTTAGCAGAAGAGAAACTGAAAATAAGCAAATAGCAACTACCAAAACATTATAATAAATAGTGTATCTAGAACAGAAATTTGCATAACATACACAAAACACATTATGAGAAGGAGGAAAATCACATACACACATGATCCACAAGAAGATTTCAAATGTTACTGACTTATGTACGCGAATGTGTTGAACGATTGAGAGAGAGAGAGAGAGAGAGAGAGAGAGAGAGAGAGTGAACGAGAAAGAGAAAGAGAGAGTAATTAGTGTTAGACTAAGTTACCAAGTGCAAAAAATAAGTACTAATAAAAAATTTATTTTTTATTTAATTCATTTGTTTTCTTTATTTCCGAACGTTTCTTTTTCTCGAATCGATTCGTTTTTTCGATTTCATTTTCTTTTCTTTTAGCTTGATACCATTTCTTTCATTTTCAGTTCTTTTTTTTCAGTTTTTCACGACCGAGTCTCTTCAAAACTGCTGAAAGTATTTACAAAAAATGTTCTCCAACACAAACGAAGAAACAGAGTAAAAAAAAACAAAAAAACAAAAAAATGTTGACTTTCTTTCATAGACTCATATTTTAATATGTAGCAAAAACCAAACTGAAAATAAAAATCACAGAAACAAATGTCTATTTACAGATTTTACAGATTATATGTGAATATTAAAATACCATTTAACACTTTCACTTCCTGTCAAGCCATTTGAAGAAAGAATTCCAGAATAAACACAAACCTCTTATATTCCTTCTCCCACATAGAAACATAAACTAATATTCGCATGGATTTAATCGCACACAAACACAAACACACACACATTGTACGTCGAAAATGCATTCAATTAATGGGTATTTCTCAGTTCACCAAAGAATAAAATTCACCTTTAGTTGATCGATCGAAATTGTTTTCGTTTTTTTTTTTGGTGACAAACAACAATGAGAATAGAAATTACACAGAAATCTAAACAAAAAAAGTGAAAAAAAATGGTTAACTGTTCTTCCTTGGAAATCTATGGTGATGAATTAGTTAATTTAAAGGCAAATTGAAGCTTAGCACAAGTTATAGAAATGTGAAAAAAATGAATATATTATACGTGCAGATCACATTTGTTGAAACCGAATAATTTCGCTGCGGGAGAATTTATCTCTTATAAATTGATTCTGAAAGATTCGCTGCTAATCCTGGAGATTTGTGAATTTTTGAATCCATGGGATGTTATTTATTAAATCCTAATACATTATTTATATTAAGGATTCTCGACGAATCTTCAAGATTCGCATTGAATTTCAAGTGATAAATGCCCTTACTTTTGGCATCCCTCGGCGAACAGTCAGAATTTCAACTGAAATTTTGAATCAGAATTTCAACAAATTTATTCGGACTGTGGATGTCATTCGATGGATAACGATCCGAATCAAAAGAAAACTCTGTACAGCCGAAAATCGCTCGTAGACGCTTTTCCGAATGACTCTAACATTCACAGATGTGAACAGAAAGAAAAAAACAATCACAGATGCATTTTATGCTTTAACAATTCCAGCCAGTTCTTTTATTCATTGAAATCAGCCCATAAATTGTTGTATTTATACGTACGACTACCGTAAGAGATATAATAGAAAAAATCAATAAGATGAACAAAAAAATACAGTTGAACACGTAATTTAAAGTACCTACGACAAAAGAAAATAAAATGCATACACGTAAAGTGTATGTGTATAAGCGAGACAGAAAAAAAAACAGACAACTATTTATCGTATAGACAGAGAGAGAGTGAAAAAAAAAATCCAAAAAAAGAAACAGAGAGAATTGTATTTGATTATTTTTTTATAATAGAAAAATGAACATAAAGATGAACTAAAAATGCTCTGAAAACATGTTGTAGCTCTATAAATAAAATCGAATCATATAACAGAATAATACACTCATATTAAACAAATCTACTGTAATTCATTATATTTGCGAGCGATGTACGTTGTACGTTGGCGATAGACAACAAATTCAGGACGAACGGTATCTGACTGGATGAACTGAGCCAGAGAGCATTTAGTGCTAGAAAACAGGCATAAACCCGCCCATTTCGTCGACGAATCAGCGCGTTGGCGTTACCGAAATTTAACAGCAACACATAAATTCATATTCAAACACCGATTTGGATATGCGATTGTCCAAGTAAATCGTTTTTAGATTGATAACAGCATTCTTTGTTCATTGTAATATTTCTTCCCGCTGAACAGCCGTACATAAAATCGGATCTTTGAATGGTCTTATTAGGAGCTTTCTTTCGTATCAAATCTCCCGAAATGGTCTTGATGTGCGCTTTTCCATCTTTTTCACATTTCCGCAAAATGTTCCATTATAACTCACGTGAAAACTCAATCGGCGATGAACGGAAAATATTTTGGAAATATTTCGTGTCCATATGTGTTGTATTGTCCAAAGAGAATGCCTAAAAGAGACGCCAAAAAAGTGAGAAACATTTATCAGAGCCGAAATCGTTAAACTCATCGAATGGATCAGCGTACACTTCGAAGTCTGAATGGAAGAAATCGATAGATGATCTCTCAAGTTGAAGCTTTTGATCTCTCAAGTTGAAGCTCTCAAGTTGAAGCATATCCTTTGTTTGCGACACTTATAATTTCACCGACAATTGAAATGCTTTTTGTTGCAAACAATAGCATTCGATGGAACGTAATTTTTTTTTTCAAACGAACACAATTTATTATATCGATTTAAATGTTGAAAAAAAAAGAAACAAAACTTATTTGCGATGTCCAGTGAAACGGACAAACACACTGCGATTTCTACACAAAATTAAAGTAGTTTAATTACGATGAAAATGTGACATTCGGTTGAAACGATGAGGAGAATAAAAAAAAAGGAAGAGAGAAGAAAACACTTAGCTATGAGTTGTAGAAAGACTTTAATTTAACTTACTATAATAATAATGAAAATGATAATAATAATTATGAGATACATAAAGCTTATAAGTGCCATTTATTGTAGAGTAATTTAGATTATTGCTGGGTGATGGGAGCCGAATGGGAATGATTTCACCACCCGAAGCACCCAACACCCATCAATGATAGACACAATAAAACTGATAAACAAAGAAGAAAGAAGAAAAATAACAATGATTAGTGAGCATTAAACATATTTAGTTTGTTATATATATTCATTCCAATGAAATGTTGCAACGCACGTTGATCAAATCTACAGTCATTTATTATTTATTTAAGAAGTTGAAGTAAAGAGCAAGTTGTTTTCTAATGGGTTCCAAATTCGTTGCGCATTTTTTTCCGCACATAAAAGTTTGTTCATTTCTTTGAGTTCACATTTTTAACAATTGTTGACGGCCTTGAACATTTTTGCTCTTTAACCTTTAGTTAGTTGAAAAGAAAAGAGGACTCTTCACTTCTTTTTTTAGGGAAAAAATGAATTTTATTAAATGTTTCAAACAAATTAAAACCAATAATTAGTAAAATTTGTAGCTATGAAAAATGGATTTATGTAATATTTTAAGATGATTAACAAAACAAACGAAGCTGTATGACGTGTTTTTCTTTCCTTTGAAGCGTTTGCATCGGTCATGACAAAAACCTTGGCATCATTTAACCGTGTTTAGGTGGTTTTGCTTCAGTTTTGAGTTGTGCAAATAAAAAAGACTCAAGCAAAATAGGAAAAATTATCGACATTTTGGCTTCAAAACGTTCTTTGCAATTGAAAAATCGACATTTCAATGGACGAGATAGATTTTGCTATCTTTCGCCCTAATTAACATACCAGCTAAGAAGCGAAGCATGACTAGAATTCTTTTGTAGGAAAAATTATTTTCAAAATCAACGAATTATCCAAATATATATATATACCCCATTTCCTTTGAATAAGCTACGATTATTGTTTGTCTCTTTTCATTTCGAAGTTTTTCAGAGGCGATCTGTTTTCAACTTAAACTTTTCCCCCCATTCGTTGTCGAAATATCGCCCTCCTCCGCCTCTCCTATACACAACTAATCTTGTTTTCGATTCAAAATAGACTACGAATTTCGAATCAATCGCTGACATAAAGCAGATCTTCTTTTAGTTATTCGGTATATTTGAAAACACATACACACATAACTTGAAATCAAAATGTTCAATTATAAGATGAAAAATAGTTCAAATCATAGGTTGGCAACATAATAAAGAACAAAAATCACTTTCTCCTTTTTAAAGTTTAACGCCAGAAATAAATAAACTTGTGAAACTTAAGCAAAAATTAACAATAAAAGAAAAAAAAAACTCGTACTTAGATTTAAACAAGAAAATTAAGGGAAAAAAAACAGAAAATGAACACATAAAAAATCTAGACGAAAAATGTTACTATTTACAAAACAAGAAAACAGCGAAAACAAATGAAATGTTTATTTCAACTTAATTATGGTATCTAATTAATTGTGAGATTGTGTGATAGTGTTAAATTTGCATGCAGGCAAGGATTTCTTCTGAACACACAAAACACAAAACAAAACGGATATTAAGCAACCGCAAATTTTATTCCTCGACTAAATAGAAAAAAAAATATATTAGTAAAATGAAACGAGTCAATTTACGATTGATATGTGTAAAACATAAAACGTTAAGAAAAAGACAAAAAAAAACATATAAAAACAAGAATTAACACGAAGTAAGAGAATAAAAAATTAAATCAAATTTAATGCCGTTCACGTTAAGAAATCCGAACCTCGCAAATAATACAAACTGAGACAAACTTTTGGGTCGAAAGATGAACAAGGAAAAATAAAATAAAATTTAAAGTGACAACATCAACAGAAAAAAACAACAACACAGTATTAAAGACATTATAGCGATTTAAATTTATTTGGGATTTATGATACAAGTTTGTGTATTAAATGAGCAAAATGTAGATAAAAAAACATGGGAAATTATATTTGATTATCGTGTTAATCGCTGTACAGCTAAGTATAAGGAAAAAAAGAGGACTAAAAAAAAGAATGAAAGAAAACCACTGTTTGCAACTAAAACATTCAAATATCTATCAACAACAACAACAACAAAAAAAGGTTTAAAAAAAGCAAAAATTATTATAAACTCTCCTCTACTAAATGAATAAAAACAAATAATTAAAATTCCTGTTATGAAAATAAAAACGCAACTCTTTTTTCATTGAACCGTTATTGTGAGACAAAACACCAAAATTTCCATGCCGTTCAGTTGGAAACGTTTTTTTGTTCCTTTTTTTTCTGTTCTAAAATTTTTTGTTTCGCACATTTAGCAAGTACACACCGCGCGCGATAAAACATAATAAATGAAAAAAAAAAACACATAAAAAAGCACATACACAGTAACAAAAAAAAGAGTGATTTCATCGAAATCGGTTGTAGAAAAGAATTGTCGTTAAAAATTCAAAAAAAAGAGAACACATTGTTTATTGTTTCACCGAATCCACTCAGGCTACAGTTTTCAAATGTGAATTGTAATAGGGATTTCCAGCGGAAAACGTGTGTTTTTCACTACTGCTTTGTATTTTGGTTAGTTTTTATTTTGCTAACGAGAGATATCCATACTATTGTTGATGGTGGTCAAGCACCTAAATTAAATGGTTTTCGTTGACGCAATTTTTCTATCACTTTATATCCATTTCACCTCCTCCCTCTGTGACTCAGAAAGAAACACTATCGACTAAATAACAAAATTCGCTACAAAAAAATGTGCTGCAAACATACAGCATCCATATACAAGTCTCATATATTTTTTAAGAATACACATGTGGAAAATTAACTTTAAACAAACAAACAAACAAAAAAAGTGGTAGATGGCTGTGGATATAACATTACTTCATAATTTTATTAATCCGGAGATTAATTTGAACGTCATAACTAATTCTTGCGCCAAAATGAGGAAGAAAAGAAGCAAATTTCAATCGTCATACACCATTCGCGTTCCTACATTATTCCCTGATGCGGCAAACTCAACGGAAACGAAACATAAAGAAAAGAATGACATGCCCATATGTCATTCAAAACGTTTTTAGAAGAAAAAAATCAACATACACCGTCTCATCCGATATTCAAGCATTCACACATGATCCTTAAATAATTAAAAAAGAAGAAAAAACAAGACACAAACACACACAGAGAGAGAGAGAGATTACGTATGAGTGTATGAATGCAAATCATACAATCTAAATGGAATCGGTTTCATGAACAATTGTGGAACGCATCCACTAAATCAAAAAAAGACACACACATATAAATGGGAATTACATTATAAATGCAGACAACAAAAAACAAGCATCTTATCGAAATCATCTATTGCCCCATTTGATTATTAGCTAATAAACAAGAATATTGTGTTTTGATTTAAATTGCCACGTTTAACACGAAATCGGAAGAGAGTTTGATTTACCACAAATCATGTCCCTTCTCCTGTTTGTCGCAACAACCACAGCAACAACAAAACTGAGAGCACAATCCACAAGAGTTTCATTCATACAGTTAATACGAGTTCAGACTTCACAAAGTAGCCACAAATTTGAAGAAGAAGAAGACAAAACACACACATACACACACATTGATATAGTAGTTGAACAATTGAACTAGTGCTAGACCAATAAAATGTTACATTCTTTCTACTCTAAACAACCAACTTCGACTCACATACAAACAACAACAATTTACAAACTTTTCTGGTTACTTGCATCTCACGTAGTTGTATTTCAAATCAAAGATTTAATCTCAACGTTTCATTCGGTCTCTGTTGGTGTTATCTACCCCATCTCTTTAAACAAAAACAAAAAAAAACTGTAAATTAGTATTCAGAACAAAGACAAATTTTACGCCGTTTTTTTCGATGTGAATAGACGCTAAGAAATCAAATATTTTTGCATCTTCTTTGGATATTTCATTGTGTCAGCGCGCGCAAATGAACATATTGAAAGTAACAAAAGGAAAACAGACACAAAACGAAGGAGAAAAAAAAACGAAACAAAATGAAAAATCTATAATATTGTGGAAACACACACGCACACACAGTTTTAAAGAAGGATATAAAGATAAAAAAAGCAGTCAGTATTTTTGTGTGTCGAGCAGAGTCATTTTCAACCTGTAAAACATATTTGTATATGTGAAATATGCCGACCATGAATTTGCCGACCCTATTATAATATATTCTAGTGTCAATTGAGCGAGTGTGAAACTTTGTGAAGCAAACTTTAGCAAAGAATAAACAGAATAAAATAGTTGATAATTTCTCAATACAAACAAAAATAAACACATCGACACCGATGAAATTGAAATAGTTGTTCATGAACAAGTAAATAAGATGAAGAACGAAAATGTTTTATGAATCTTTGCACTATGAAATCGTGCACATTACCGAGAGTCAAATACATACAAGACAGATGCAACTCTCTTACATCTATTATATTATCCCCCGTAACATCTCTTTCCCCCCCACACATACGTACATTTGCTTTAATTAAACAACAACAACAACAACAACAACAACAACAACAAAAACCAAGATCAATATAGAATATTAACAAGAGAAAAAAAGCATAAAAAAATTGTCCATTGGATCTTACTGTGTTACAAATGCTAAGAATCATAAAATTTATGATTGATTTCAGACAAAAAAAATGGATCGACATGCGACATGCGATATAAGAAAATAAAAGCAAACAAAAAAAAGTGAAAAAAAAAACAAACTGATGATCCGTTATAGAAAAATTAGTATATGAGAAATTAAAAAAAAATTTAAATTGATATGTAAAATGTTAAAATTAGAATCAATTTAGAGAGCGATAATGTTAAATCGACTTTGAGAGAAACTTAAATAGAAAAAATGGAGAAAAAAATATATAAATAAACAAAAAACAAGAACAACACTCAAAACGACATAATTACTGAATATTTGAAAATATTTAAAGTGCTACAATAATAAACTCATTATATTATCGTAAAAAAATAAATCTCTTGTTTTTATTTCGCATTTCTTTCATCTTCATCTTCATCATGGTGTCTGATTATCAGATACATTTACGTCAAATTACATCTTTTCGGCTTTAAATTGTATAAACACTGTACGCTTTCCTATTTGTTTTTTTGTTTCATCTTAGAATTCGGTTGCCGTTTGTTTGATCCAGTGATTTGTGTTCAATGAACACTGTTCATCCTACTATTTGTTTCTTCCTTTCTTTATGTCTTTTTGTACACATTTAACATCGATCTCGGAAACCAGTAACATTTAGTAAAATTAAAGCTAACGAATGAATGAAACGCGAGAAAGAAAAACCTATTGTGTAAATGAGCTGAATCAATCTTATTTCTTTGTCCAGTTTCAGAGTTCAATGCTGCCTAATTCGTTACACATCGAAATGGAATTAAACGATATATTTAAAAAAAAAATTGCGTATTATTTTATAATTATCATTTCATAGAAAAATGTTCAAATTCACATTACGATTGAACTCCGCGAGAGAAAAAAAATCGGTTTGCTATCAGACAAAGAAATGGCTCATGAAAATATTGTTGAGTATAAACAAAGTTTGGGAGCTTAAATGGCAGAAAAAAAAATCATTATCATTATTACCGACGCAAAAACTAAAGACTTTAAAATAACTCTTTTTCACTTGAAGTTTAACGAACAATTTTTACTCCAAGAACGAAAGGAAGAAAAATATTTGTTTAAAAAAAAAAAGTGTTTTGTTCTTAATTATTGTAAATATTTATCGTTGAATATGATCATTGACGATTAAAAACTCGCCATATCGATTGTACAGCGCTTGAGACGAAACCGCCGGCCACGCTAGCCGTTTGCTGCGTTTGTGAACTCAATGGCAACGACAGATCGGGCGGTTGATGCGGATGTGAAACAGCCTCCCATTCGGTCGGTAAAGCACCATCTTCTGCTGTTTTGAGGCAAATTGAATTTTTAGTTATCATCATGACAATTATTTTTTTTTCTCTCAAAAGACACACAAAATTATGATTTTCGATAATGAATTGTAATAAGTACCTTCATCATCAGATCCAGAGTCCGTGTTTCCAGCGGTTAGATTTTGCATTAATTGAATATTTTGTGCGCCACTGAAACCATCATTGATGTCAACCGCCCCGATGCGACCCAAATCACTGTATTCCAAATTCAACATTTTTGATATATTCTCAAGCGTATGGTTCGGTGACAACGAGCCCAGTTTCACACGTTGTGTGTAACACAAATATAAAATGTTTGTATTCAAACGGGCCACTTTTCTCCCAAACGATTGTTCATTCAATTCCTTTTTACAAAAATCACTGCAAGAAAAAAAAATATGCATGGAATTGGTAAGTAATGTGAATGATTGAAGTCCATCATTGATGGCATGCCATTCATAGGTAATGAGTTGAGACAAAGAGTGGTAAGTTCGATTCTCACCTATAATTTATTCTGAACGGCAGTCTGACATCCAAGTAATAGCTGAGTAAGTGAACCAATTGTGTGGTGTATGTCAAGGCAGCACTGATGCGATATGCAGCATTTGAGCTGGTCATTGCTTCGCTGGCTCCAGGCGGATTTGGTACACCATCTTTTGTAGTTGCCACCCAATCATTGTAAGCTGAATAATCGCCATTCTCTGCATAAATTAAGAGAAGAGATCATCGATTTGGTTTCCATTAAAACCAGTTTTACGATAAATTTTACCTGGAAGTGATGGTGCGACAATCACGTGCTGTAGTTCACCACGGCTGTCTTGCAACACCCATCGACCACGAACGTATGTGGTATGCGTGGCGTCAGCGAGTGCGTTCATCGTTTCGGCTGACACAACCGTACCCAAATCGGCTACATTCACATCAGATATGCTTTTACGAGCATCCACATTGGGCGCATTGGCTTCGACTGGGCTCGATTTTGGGCTTGTGTTTGTACCAATTGCTGCCTCTCCCTTTGATATTCGTTGCGATAACGGGAATATGAATTTTATCAACTTTTGAATGTTTTGTATGCGACATTGTTTGACTTCTTCGAACAGTTTGGTTCGTTCTTCGACTTGTTGTGCATTTCGATCTTCCGTTTTCTCAATATAATCAGCAAACTGTTGGCATGTTTTCACATACTGTGGGATTTGTTTACGAATTTTTGCATTCTCATGTCGTAGCATTTCACATTTTTCCGCCAGCGATTTGGTTCCGCTCGAACGTTCGGTGATCAGTTTCTTCAACAACAAGATATTCTCTTTCTTTTGCTTGATAGCAAACTGCAAATCCTCAGCCAGCTTCCGATTGTACAGTAAGCGAAGGCATGTTGCCTGCTGTGCTCGATGAACTGACTTCAAATTCTTGTATTTTAGCTGCTTCTCACCGAACCTATTTTTTTATTGAATGAAAACACATTTAAAAAAAATATGATAAAAGCCAGTCAAAGCAGGTGCATTGGTATGCGCCAATCGTGATATGTTGGCTATAGAAACATAAAAATTTCGACGGGGGCAGAAAATGAAGCACAAACGAAATAAAATGAAAGGTAAATTAATCTGAGCGGAATAGTGATAGGGGACCTTGAAAACTAAGATTGTAACAAAACATCATCATCGAGAAAAAAAAGAGAAATGAAAACACAAAATAAAAAACATCGACATGCTTCTTCTTTTTGGTTGTGTTGACAGAACGAGTGTTTGTGTTTTTGTCTGTTATTGTGGTTGCTGCTGTCATCGTGCTGCTGTGTGCCTTTTTTGTTGGCATATTTCCGTTTGCTGTGGTTTTGCAGCGAATGAAATCTTTGCGCTGTGTTCTCTTTGTGTGTGTTTCCCCCCCTCTCTCTCTCTCTCTCTCTCTCTCTCACTTACCGTTCAGCCAAATGATGCGATGAATGCACAAAATTGCCATCACGAATGCAATAACGACAATGAAACGATTTTCGTGAATAATTACACAATGGACACTTCACTTGGCAACTACTCCAATGGCTACCATCCTCATCATTTTCGGTTGTGATGTGGAAATTTTCTGGTGCACCAAAACTCTCATCATCGGAATGATTAGCCATTACATACGTAATAGATGAAAACTGGAAATTTTCATCATATGCCTTGCTGCTGCAATCACACGCAATTCATATGATGGACTTGTGTCTGTTGCTTTGTTTATATTCAACGTATATATAGATTCACAAACTGGACTAACAGACTAGCACTATTTTTCAAACGTTTATTGTTTAGTGCGAACTTGAAGAAAGTATATTGATGAATAATAAAAAAAAATTGAACACACACAGCTGTTTCATGGTGTGCAGCGCACTCTGCTGCCATCACACGCAAACGTATCAAACGTCAAAACTTATTTCGTTTGTTTCACTTTTCAAATTGTGACGACGCGCCAATCTTCTGAAAGGGAACCATTCCGCACATTATCATCTCATGTTAGAGTTTCACGCAGATTCAGTCAATTTTATTTCCATTTATTTATTCTTTTCAATATAAAATTGCATTCACATTTACTTGATTAAAAATATTTACCATTTGAAATCTCAACGAACTACAACATTGCTTCATTTTGGATGACGTATCTGTCAAGCGAACTGTTTATGCACACTATTTCATCTGTACCAATCGATTATTGTTGAACGGACTACAGTAACTGTTTTTTTTGTTGTTCATATATGGTTCAACGCAACTCGAAAAGCCATTCACAAATATGCTAGTCTCTTATCAACAAGCGTGTCTGATAAGGAACATTGGCGATAGCAGTGATTGTGTCGAACAACAAAGAACTGCCATACAAATACTCACCGTTTCCAACAGTTTCACCGCTAAACTATATATCGCTATATATAGGAACATATTCCTCGCTTTGTGGAGGAAAAACAAACTCAGCTAAATTTATGCACTAGATGTCTTCTATTCAATGCAATTTTATGTTTAATTTAGACAATTATATCCTTTTTTATATCTATCGATGAGACGTAAAAGAACGCAAGTTTGTCCAACTTCGTAGCAATAAAGGGAAGTACGTCATTGCAATTAATGATGCTCAAACGAATGTATGCTCATTTATCATCTTCTATCAGTTCCGTGAAAACCGTGAAAAACCGCGACGACATACGGTATGCATTTTAATGCAGACAAAATCAACAGAAAACGTACATTTTTCAAAAAAAAAAAAAATTGAGAAAAATGCATACATTCTTTCACGTCTCATGGATAAGTATGTAAAAAAATAATTTAAAAAAATACATTGGCATGGAATTCGATATCATAGCTCAATTATAATTGATCCACTTTACTAATTAATTGAGTCAATTAACGTCAGAATATGTCAAGAATAATTACTCTGGTGGCCAGAGTTCATTAAATTTGAGTTGTATTTTATCACGATTCCATTGTTTACATATGCCATGTGGTCGATTCATTTCGTTCAAATAGCTTGTTTTTCATTATATCTACAGGCTTTTATCTACAATACGAAAAAACATATGTGTTTATCGTTTTAATTATGCGTATCTTCGCTTTAATTTCATTTATTTAAATTTCATTCATGTATAACAAGTAGTTAAATCAAAAATTGTGTATGCTGACGAAAAAAGACGGGTTTTCCCCTCTCTCAAAAAAAGAAGAAGAAGAGATGATCAAAAGAAAAGAAAATTAAATGCATGAACGGACGGACGGAGTGCCTAGACTATAGATTCAGCCCATATTTTGTAATAAACCGAGAACGTATGAGCCCAAGTCTTCGTCCTGATTGTTCCACGAGAGTAGAATATTTTTGTGAACTCCTTTTGAATCAGATTCGACGACAAGTTGTACGGACGCAACCGCTATTTCGCACTTATCCGACATTGTTACGGTCCATCCGGTCAGTTTCTCCTGTAGTAGTGCGTATAACTTTTCACTGGTGCGTGTCGATGGTCCCGGATCGTCGATTTTAATCTTTGACGTGAATCTACAAATTGAACATGAAAATAGAAAATGAGTCAAAAACAATATTGTCAAATGATTTGCTTTATCGTTGGGATTGCATCAGATAATTACCGGAATATGTGTCTGTTTAGGCCAACCTCTTTGCATACTTCGTTGAGTTCCATGAGCGAGACACGATTGTCTTTCATTACCAAAACACCGTGAAGCAATCGACTTCGTTTTGGATCGGGCGGTTGAGCGTTGTATGCACGAGCTTCGGCTTTCAGCAATGAAAGTGACGCATCGACTGGAATTTTGACGGGTGTATTGATTCGGCACGTTTCACCATTTGCTGGCATAAAACAATCGACTGAAAATTCTTCTTTTATCTTTTTCGTAAGGAATTCCATTTTGGCCGCTTCACCATGGACGAGCATTACATTTTTCGGTTCACAATACTGGATCAGCTGCATAATTCCCTTGGCATCGGCATGCGCACTGAAGCTCATATACTCCACCGACATTTTAACTTCGACCATTTGCCGATTTTCGAATTCCACTTTCTTGGCACCGTTCAAAATTTTATGGCCAACCGTTCCCTGAACACAGTAGCCGGGCATGATGACCATGTTTTGTTCGTGTGGCGCCCATTTCTTGAAGATTTGCAACGATAAACCGGCGTGCAGCATACCAGGCGTTGCAAACACCACCATCGCACCAGGATTATCGATGTAGCCTTTGTCAAACGGTTTAATGTGCTTGAAATCGAACATGTTGCGATGCACGAATGTTTTACGGATCTTCTGATTTGTCCATGTGATAAACATTTTGTAGTAATTGTTTGCCTTTTCCGTCAGTCCAACGGCAAAGTAAATTGGATACTTGAGATTCATGCGCTCCCAGTATGTTTCCAGTAAAATGCACAGTTCTTGTGCTCGACCCAGTGCAAATACCGGAATCAATACTTTACCACCTTTGGCCACACATTCGTGTACTTTCTTCAGGAAATCGCGTTCTCGACATCGTTTCGAGTCCCGAATCGTGGTTGCGTATGTACTTTCGGTGATCAATAGATCCGGTTTGCATTTATCAATCCACGCCGCTCCCAAATGACGATCTGGTGTCATATTATAATCACCTGTATACACCACCGACTGTGTACCGACACGTATCCAAAACATAGCCGCACCAAGCACATGACCAGCGTAGTATGCCTTAATCTCAATCTCATTGTCGACCATAACACTTTGATGCAGTGTGACGGCGATCACCTTTTTCATACAGTCCTTAATCATTTGTGTGGTAAAAAAATTTGATTCACCTTTGCGTTCGACGGCAATTTTCCGCATGTCTTCCAGCAGAATGGGTGCGATGGCCTTTGTTGGATGTGTCATATAAATGGGGCCAGTGTAACCAATCATTTCCGACATGTATGGCAACGCACCACAATGATCTAAATGGAAATGTGAAATAATGACACAATCAATACTGCCGGTGATTGGACCCTCGGGCACAATGTAGGAAAAATCGGGAAAACGTCGTTCATCATTGTAGCCCATGTGCATGCCACAATCGAGCATAATATTTTTGCCACCCATTGATAGCAGCAAACAACTGCGACCGACATCTTGGCCGGCTCCAAGCGGTGTCACTTTGATATCTGGCATGGCTACCACTTTGTTTCTTCACTCCACCGAATCCGATACGCACGGCACATATAGACACAAAATCGGTTGACTGCTGATCTTGTACACTCGTTGTTGATAAAACCAAAACAACCCGCTTATCAGTTTTAAGTGTTTTAAAGATGGAAAATGAAAAACCACAACAAAAGCTACGCACACACAAACACTGTGGAAGATCGCAAGGGAGAGAGAGAAATAAAATGTCGCTTTAAATGCCTTTTATTTTTGAACACTCATCTTCTCGCGATTGTTTGGTTTTACTTATTTTCTTACGTGAGTTTGTCGTCGACAATAATTTGATTGTGACATGAAGAGAAACTGATTTAATGATCGATCTACGACGAATATTTTTTTTTGCTTTTCTTTTTGTCCGCGCTCTCAAGCGACCTGTAAGATTCTGTGTGCTGCAGTATTTTTGTATCTGAAATGTCATGTAATTTCGTTGATTTATACGAATGAGAGCCGTCATATGATTTTTTTGACAGTTTGATAACATGGATTTCACGATGAAATCAAACGCATTGCAAATCCACTCAAACAACACACATTGCTTATCAACAAATTTACAGAAAGATTAATGCATATATCCTTGGAGTGATGCCTTTTTTTGAATGCATGACAATGGAAAATCTTTTATAGCAAAATCGTTGCAAATATCGCGTCATTTCTACATTTCAGCATTGACATTGTGTCGTCAAAAATACAAACTCGTTTGATTTTCCGATAGGGACACCAGTTGACGATGACATAATTTAGCGTGTATACATACACATGTTATGTTTGTGTACATACTTCATCCACTGTACGTGAACGAGCGATGCGTCATTAAACCAAATTTATTTGTTTGCGAAAAGTTCGATCAGGCAAAACAAAAGCTAATAGCCAAAGTATTTTCTTTTTTGAGCGAATCTTCAACGCGTAATTTTGTATTCGCAAATTAAAAACAAGCAAAACAGTATTACATTCATCGATAAATATGGGTCTGTTTGGTAAATCACATCAACGCGATCCCAAAGAACAAGTAAGTCTATTGGATCTATGTGTTAGATTCCAGAATATAGAGCAATTTCTCTTTCTAAAAACACACAAACCTACATTTTACCACTCGAGATGATCTAATTGTTCAAACAATTAACGCGTTGACCATGAATTTTTTTTCTTCTGGATGATCGAAGACGCAGTATTAGTTTTGACAAAATTGCTGTTAGTTCGAATATATTTAAATTGATTTTCAAGGCTATTGAATGAATCATTGACATGTTTGTTATTTGTCGTGATTTTGTGCACAGGTGAATGAATGGTGTCATAAAATCCGCAAAGAGGGATATCAATTGGAACGTCAGGTGCGTGCAATCAAAAATGAAGAGGAAAAAGTGAAGCGTGCATTGAAGCAGGCCGCTGCCAAAGGTGATAAAGATACATGTACCATTCTTGCAAAGGAAATTGTCCATTCACGCAAAGCGACGAATCGGATTTTCTTGACAAAGGCACATCTCAACTCGGTGCAGTTACAGATGAAAAACCAATTGGCAACGCTGCGTGTAGCCGGCTCACTGGCCAAATCCAACGAAGTGATGACAGCGATGCAAAATCTGGTTCGTGTCACGGAAATTTCTGGAGTTATGCGTGAAATGTCAAAAGAAATGACAAAAGCAGGTATCATTGAAGAGATGCTAGAAGAAACGATGGATTCAATCGAAGACACCGAAGAATTGGAGGAAGAGGTTCAAACTGAAGTCGATAAGGTATGACTGAATTTAAATGTTTGGAGCCAAAGATTCTTTGAACTTCATATTAATAATTTTGCAGGTGCTTTATGAGATAACTGAAGGTAAACTTGGCGTTTTGGAACCACCACCAACCACACCAGCTGAACCCGCCCGAAGCAGAGATCAACCCAGCACGAGTAAAGTGTCTGAGCCAGAAGAAGAGGAAGAAGAAGATCTAACCGAGATGGCTCAGAGACTTGAAGCCTTACGATCTTAAAAAAAATTCCTTTTAAATCCTATGCAAATGTTTCAACAGCTGCTGAGCTGGGGTGAGAACGTTACCCGTTCATGAACACACAACTTGCAGTGGAAATAGATTGAAATCAAACTAACAGTAAAGAAAAAACAGGATATTTTCATAAACATCGATGTTTTGTTGCAAATCGATTCTGTAGATTTTATGTACTGCTTTGTGATGTATGAATATTATAATATATAAACGAAAACGAACAAGATTTTGAATGGAATTGAGTGCGTGCACATGTAACTAACATTCACAATTTACTGTCAAATGCAATATTATTTAGCATCTCCAAACAGAAATTAAACAAACAAATAATAAGCTTTCAGTTTCATGACATTGAAAACGAATTGGATTTTGTGTCAGAGTATCCATTACTTGATTTACGTTATTTTAATTTATTCTTTGTTTTGCTAGATAAATAAATTGCAAATCAAACACATTTTTAATAAAGAGTATTTGAAATTATATACAATTACTGTAAACATTGGTTTCAATTGCAATCGGTGTTCGCAGACGAAAATTGGAATTGATCTAGTATACTCAATTGGATTGCTCTCTCAATGGACGGCATATCGAGAAAGAAGAAAACTCTACATTTCGAAAATGGAATCTAAAACGGTTGAAATATTGATATTTTATATCGCCCCATACCCATTGATTTGTCGCATTACAGAAACAACCTCGTTCATACAATAATTTTTGTTTGTTTTTATTTCATACGTCCATTTTATGGAATTCGGTAAAAAATAAAAAAAGAAAGGAAATGATCGAATGCAGAATGATGTGTTCGGTTCGCGGTTTCGTTTTCTTTGTTTCAATAAAAGAAATAATTGTTTGTTTTTTTTCATAAAATCCACATGTTATCCTTGTTGTTTGTTGTTGTTTTTTTGTGATTTAAGTGTTTTGAATGCAATATTGATAGTGTTCGATCTTATATGCCTTGAGCTGCTTTTGTTTTGTTTCGATTCCGTTTCACTTTCTTGAGATTGTCCATGCCGTTTTTCGAGATTTTACTATATTCTTCCATCACTTTTGGTACGTCATCCTGTGACACAACTGTTGATAGCTTCTTTGAAGATGCTTTTGCACGGATCAAACATTTGTATTCGTCGGGAAGTGGCAGAGGAGGTCGTCCTTCACGTGGTTTTGGTCGATCGTGGCCATCGTCTGCAATATTGAATTTAAATTAGCTACCATATTCATCACAAACACACAAAAAAACTCCGCAATTTAGACATTCCAAACACTAGCACCATATGATTAGCATCTGATGTTCATTGTATAGAAATGCACCAATTCTGCATTATGTACTTACATCGTTTTAGAGTCAGCGAAAGCGGGACCGATTTACTATTTGCATTATGGATCAACAGGACTAATTGCGCTAGAAACTGTAATTAAGCATGCTAACATCAGTACACTGGGTAAATTGCGATTTCCATTTCTACTAGATTTGTTATCACACAGAGAAAACAATAAAATACTTACATCTTTGTTGCTTAGCAGAACCATCTTGTTGTCTATTGAGTTATTAGTTTTACTTAAAATGTAATAGAAAATCTAGAATTACTTTTCCGATTGGCCGACACAGAATTCCAAATCGACTGAAGAGAAATGTGTGTTTAGTTTTGTTTTGTGGGTGGCAAAGTTTGTCTGAGTTGAAGAATCATTCCAAGTATTTCAACAAGGCCAACCTGTGCGATTTCTATGTCTTTATCCAAATCAATACTTCGGCAACTTCTAAAACATCGTATGTATCCAATTGTTGCCTTCGTGTTAAATTGGCTACGATAGAATTTAAGCAAAGGGTTTTCAATTACAAGAGCGAGTCCATTAAGTACACTGCGCCTGGCTGATTTCTGAAACTCCGACATTGTTTCTTTTCTCTTTCAGTCGAAGTTCTGCCCGAAATTAGGCACTTGATGTGTAGGCGTATGTTGTCGTTCTTACACATACGAGTTGGACAGACTATCGTAGATCTCGAAGTTGTAGAACGATATGGACAAAAGAATGCCATTGCACCAAAAAAAAAACCGAGAACTAAAATGTTGAAGTAAACTCGCGTGATAGCCGGTACTGACTGACAATTGTCTCCACATCAAATGTCATTTGAAATTTTGGATTTTAAAACTTTACACAAGCAACGCATTTCAAGCAAAAATGAGTGTCAGACGTAATGCTACGAACCGTACCGATTTTTGGCCAATTTTTGGCCAATACTGATTTTTTGACTTGCTTATTGATTTATACTGATTTTCACATTTCATCAAATTTTGTTTGAAATTTCGGCGATTTACAGAAAGAAATCGTTTTTTTTTAAATATAAATTGTAGTACAAAGTAAATAAATGGAACGTAAAGAAACTATTTGCAGGTTTCCAATTTAATAAAATATGTGCTATTTTTTCCAGGAATGCCAATTTTGAGATATTCCGCGAAACAAATATCCAAACAAGATGTGCAAGAATAATTTAAGTTCTGCTCTGCTTTGAACAAATCAAAACTTTAAAGTCAATTTTAATTGATCAATCTAATATGAAATTCATATGCACCGAATTCCACCGTCATTGGATAACTCGTGTTCTGAATAAAATCTCTACCCAAGAAGAATACAATTTCAAAAAATCAAAATCAAAGCCAAAGCAAAGTCCCGGTGAATTGTAAAATTATTTCGATGATCACGAATAGCTGAGATCATCAGTTTAAGGACCTTTCGAACTATTTTTTAATAAAATAATTTTATTTCATCTGAATTTCACTTAAATTCAAGTATTTTGCAGCATACTATTTTTTTTTGAAAAAGATAGTAAGGTACTACTGATTGATTCTTCGCGAAAATGAGTTGGTAGCATTATAGAACGGCCAACAAATGTGTCATTTGAATTTCTAGTTCAATTCAGTGTTCACTATTCATAAACATTCGATTGGAGAAAATAGTGTGTTCGATTGGTATAAAATTTTAAAAAAAATCAATAAGTTTTACTTCTCAATTCATTTTGATGAAGAATTATGTGTGTTTCGTCGCTCTCTGAATGGTCAATTAGAGGTTTTTCCAATGAATTTAAAATTACCGAATGTTGTGTGTGAGTTCGGCAAATCGCCGATATTATATTCCTAAAGTTGGTAAAATGCCATTTTACTAACATTGTTGGTAATTCGACATTTTACCGTAAACACAAAAAACGTACGGTAATTCGTCGAATTACCGAATTAAATTTCAATTTTACCGTTTCGATTTTGAGTGAATATAGTTTCGTAGTTTTGTTGTAATTTTCACTTGTAATTCAGGTGCGTTAGAAGTTCTATCATGGATATGTTGACGCAATTTGGGTACTTTTTGATAAATGTCCGCCTTGAAGTTGTGATCGATCAAAGACATTTAGGGCACTTGGCCTGTTTTTATCTTTCAATTGCAGCTTTTTGATTTGACTGTCGATTTTTGTTCTTGTTTCCCGAATCGTGTAGGTGGCATCGCAAATAACACGTTCATTCAAATCTACAGTAACTAATTTTGACCATTTTTCCTCATTTTCCACGAAATTTACCCATTTCAACCCATTTTCTGAAACATATTGTAGCTTTGAGAGTACAGAATCGCTTCTGCGTGATCGTCTGAACAAAATACTTCTTGAATAGATAGGTAAAAAACCAATAATTACCGGAGTGCTGGTGTAAAAACTAAGTTTCATCAAGAACACCTATAGTCATTAATTCCCGGCAGAAGCAACTTTACCCAAAACCATGGCCCATTTGAACTCAGGGCGGCCTAAACTATCGCTTGGCACTTATTCGGCTGATGTGCCAGATTAAAAAAATACGCGTCGGACTGTGAAATCTATTGTGGTCAACAATTTTTCTGCTTTTTTGTTTTTCTGCATTTTTTTTTCTGCATTCGATACCGGATTCGTTTTATGACGTAAAAATTCACCACTTGCCTATTCTTTTTAATTTAACTAAATGTCATTTCATATTCAATATTTCATTTTTCATGTAGAAAAAATTTAAACACATGAGGCCTGTTTCAACAGACACACATTTTTTGTTACAGAAATTCACCAAACTGTGCTACCAATGTAATAAGTCGGAGCTCACTAATAACTGACATTGACTACCAATTGAGTTTCACAATATTACTTGGCTATTGTAATATTTACGTGATCTTTTTTCCTATTCGTAGACAATGTAAGTTATTAGTGAGATCTAGCTTTTTTCATTGGTAACACTTAGGTGGATTTCTACAACAAAGAATTTGTGCCTGGCTTTATGTGAAATTTACATTTGTTGCGTGTGACAGCGGCTTATTTTGCGGCCTTATTTTCATTCAAAAACAATTTTTTTTTATTTTCAATTGTTTTCATATTTGTAGGAACGAAAAAAGTTATCAAATAAGCATTATTGTTAAATTTAAATTTTTTGGGCAATAAAACTGTAAAGCTCCAAAGCTATAAGTCTAAAATATTGAATAGGTATTGAAAATAGTTCAAAAGCGTGCCTCAGATGTCACTGCTGTGTTGCAAACGTAGTGAAAACGGACTGTGCTTTGAATCTATTGGTGTTTTGTTTTTTTCCAGCAGTGATGCGCTGACATTCAGTCATTTCAATACCACAAATACACACACTTACCAACGCACACGAACAACGCTCTCTTTTTACAATACATGAACGAACATAACAGTTTCAATCAAACAATGTCGTGAAAGTGACCGATTTTTATTTGTGTGGCATATAGATGGCAACCGAGAAGTATTGCCTGATGCGTTGATTGGTCTGCATTCTCTCTTTCGCAGCAACTTCACATTGTTGTAATAAATATTCCTTTGTTTTGACATAACACATGACAAATTTTGTTCAAAACAACTAAATATTGAATAATAAAGTCCAATCTCATTTCAAATCGTAATATTTCAACTGGATGAACAAAAACCGGTAAAGCTTATAAAAGTACAATTTTTTTTTATAGTTTTGCAGATTAAAATGAGTGGCACCAAAGATGAAGATGCATCTCGAGCTGCCTCTGACAGTTCCAAAGAAGAGATTGATGAATATTTAAGAAGTTTGCCTGAAAATCCACACAAAAAATATAGTGAAGAATATTTTTTATTCCGAATGCAACACATACATGATTTAGGGGCAAAGATTGATGAACAACTTAAATTATTAAGCCGTCGACTCGGAAGAGAACCGGATTGCGGCACGAAATAGTTCTCGGATTGAATTTCGAACCAGAGATGGAAGAGTTTCGCAAGTTGGAGCGAATGAGACAAAGTAACAGTAAGAATGTGCCTTCTACGTCCACTTCAATTGAAATTATTCTATCGTTCTCTCTCTTTATACAGACAATGGACATCCAGCTCAGAAGGAAGTTGGAAACAAGCCTGAAAATCAAAATGATATCGCAATCAATCCCGATGATGAAAAAAGCGCCTAGATTGGGCTTCAACTTCGAAATTCTAAAATAAAATGCAACATTCAGTTCTATGAAAATGTGCCATAACGGTTGATTTTATTTGAATAAAATAATAATAAATGATCTCACACAAAATACCAGATACTTTAATGTTCCGGGTAAAAATTCAGTTTTAAGTTTTTGAATCAGTTGGTTTTTAATGGTGATGTTTTCCATGGTTTAAAAACAAAAAGACAAACTACAGCAAAAAATCTTTCTCGTATGATTTGTGGTAGTTGAACGACTCATGATGAACAATTCAAACACAACTCAGTATATATCTTTCGATAGTCTAATGACTAAATTTATTTACACATTTAAATTAACTTGAACATCGGGCACATGTTAAAACGAATTAGGCAACATTGTCTTCATCAAGAGGATCTACTGGTTTCTTCTTCAAATGCTCAAAGTCTTCCAATTTAAAGTCCACCGTTTCCGTGATGTTGCTGCTTCGAATAATTTTAGCTTTTTGAACTCCACTGGCCAAAGCAAATTGTTGAGCTGGCGTTAGCATATCAATTTCTGAATTCTGTAACCCATATGACTCCTTTGTGAATTTTCCACTTGAATATACCCATACTGTTTATTAAATGAAAATGTTATTGAAAAAATCAACGATTGTCAACAAAACTCGTACTCATTTACTTACCGATATAGCCGATCATATTCCAAGCACACAGTGCGTACGCTACACTCAGCCAATTTCTGTATTTATTGGCTTATCTGTATGGGATTGGTGTGGTATGCCTCCGGACAAATCGTCGAAGTCACATAAATCGAAACAACGACATCGTTTGTTCTATTGTTAAGTTTGCATCTGAGGAAAAATGTTTCAATCAGCTGCTGAGCTGGGATGAGAACTTTACCCGTTCATGAACACACAACTTGCAGTGGAAATAGATTGAAATCAAACTAACAGTAAAGAAAAAACAGGATATTTTCATAAACATCGATGTTTTGCTGCAAATCGATTCTGTAGATTTTATGTACTGCTTTGTGATGTATGAATATTATAATATATAAACGAAAACGAACAAGATTTCGAATGGAATTGAGTGCGTGCACATGTAACTAACATTCACAATTTACTGTCAAATGCAATATTATTTAGCATCTCCAAACAAAAATTAAACAAACGAATAATAAGCTTTCAGTTTCATGACATTGAAAACGAATTGGATTTTGTGTCAGAGTATCCATTACTTAATTTACGTTATTTTAATTTATTCTTTTTTTGCTAGATAAATAAATTGCAAATCAAACACATTTTTAATAAAGAGTATTTGAAATTATATACAATTACTGTAAACATTGGTTTCAATTGCAATCGGTGTTCGCAGACGAAAATTGGAATTGATCTAGTATACTCAATCGGATTGCTCTCTCAATTGACGGCATATCGAGAAAGAAGAAAACTCTAAATTTCGGAAAAGGAATCTAAAACGGCTGAAATGTCGATATTTTCAATCTAAGTCGCCAGTCGCCGATTCGCCCCATACCCATTGATTTGTCGCATTACAGAAACAACCTCGTTCATACAATAATTTTTGTTTGTTTTTATTTCATACATAAGAATATTTTTTCCGTATTTTTTAACATTTTATGGAATTCGGTGAAACATAAAAAAAGAAAGGAAATGATCGAATGCAGAATGATGTGTTCGGTTCGCGGTTTCGTTTTCTTTGTTTCAATAAAAGAAATAATTGTTTGTTTGTTTTTTCATAAAATCCACATGTTATCCTTGTTGTTTGTTGTTGTTTTTTTGTGATTTAAGTGTTTTGAATGCAATATTGATAGTGTTCGATCTTATATGCCTTGAGCTGCTTTTGTTTTGTTTCGATTCCGTTTCACTTTCTTGAGATTGTCCATGCCGTTTTTCAAGATTTTACTATATTCTTCCATCACTTTTGGTACGTCATCCTGTGACACAACTGTTGATAGCTTCTTTGACGATGCTTTTGCACGGATCAAACATTTGTATTCGTCGGGAAGTGGCAGAGGAGGTCGTCCTTCACGTGGTTTTGGTCGATCGTGGCCATCGTCTGCAATATTGAATTTAAATTAGCTACCATATTCATCACAAACACACAAAAAAACTCCGCAATTTAGACATTTCATACACTAGCACCATAAGATTAGCATCTGATGTTCATTCTATAGAAGAGCACCAATTCTGAATTGTGTACTTACATCGTTTCAAAGTCAGCGAAAACGGGACCGATTTACTATTTGCATTGTGGATCAACAGGACTAATTGCGCTAGAAACTGTAATTAAGCATGCTAACATCAGTACACTGGGTAAATTGCGATTTCCATTTCTACTAGATTTGTTATCACACAGAGAAAACAATAAAATACTTACATCTTTGTTGCTTAGCAAAACCATCTTGTTGTCTATTGAGTTATTAGTTTTACTTAAAATGTAATAGAAAATCTAGAATTACTTTTCCGATTGGCCGACACAGAAATCCAAATCGACTGAGGAGAAATGTGTGTTTATTTGTGAAGTGTGGCTGGCTCACTGTCAATACGTGTCAAACAAAAGGCCTTTTTCAACTCAATCAAAGCGATCGTCTAAAACCGCCTATGAATGAACGGACTTGAAAATGTCTCTTTTTGTTCATTTTTGCAGAATTTTTTTTGCGTTTATTTTCTTCGGGGTGATTCATTCAAATTACTCACGCCATTGGTTCCAATTCTATTTGTTTGATGATAAAAATGTTAAAATATTTAGTATAGAAAATGGGTGATTTTGTTTTGTCAACGAATATTCTGCATTTCATATATTATTAATTGTGGGTTTGCATGGAAAAATATGAAAATTTCTCAAATTCGAGTGCATCGGTTGATTCTCTTTCAAATTTTCATGCAAACTATTCAAATATCTCAAATTATTTGCAAATAATTTCATTTCAATTCAATTGCAAAATTGTCGTCGAGAGCAAATTGCAATTTTACATTGAACGCACCCATCGCATCGTCTGGTATAGTCTCTTGCCATTCATACATCGACATTCGATCTAAACATTTGAATGTCATTTTTTTAACGTCATAATGGTGCTTAAATACACATCAAATTTGCTGAATTTTTCATTTTTATTAATTGTGTATGACATTCGTGCGTCGTAAATCGTTTAAATTTATTAGTTTTAGTTTTAGTTTGGTTCTGATTCAAACAATCAGGCCATCGAATTGTGCCTAATACTTGCCGAACCAATTCCGACAAGTGTGGCCTTACGCAAAGTAATTTGTAGTAAACAAAAATACGTGCGAGTTGCACAATACAAAGAAAAACAACAACAACAACAAAAAATCGAGAGAAAAAAGAAGAAAAGAATTTCAATTGAAATTTAATCAAATTTAATGTGTTTATTAAGAATGATATAAGTGAGAGCCGCAGAGGTGAAGGCAGATTCGACCAAATTGATTTGTGCACATCAAAGCAATAGAATCGTATGAAATGTTATCGCGAAAAAGCAAAGATAAAACCATAAAAGAAGGCGTTGTGGGTAAATATGTCAAAAAAGAAACACCACCAGAAATACCAAGTGAGTATTTTATTCTCAAGCAATTTGCTTTAATTTGCTAATTGTTTTCGAATTTTCAATGCAGTCATAAACGTGTGGACAATCGATGCGAACAAAAATAAGTCAAAGAATCGTCGCAACAGTCAACAGATCGGTGGTGACACAAATGCAAGTACCGATGATAATATTATCCAAGCGACAAGCCAAAAATTCGGTAACAATGGCAAAATTAATGTTAAAAAATCCAGTTTGGGCCACGAAGGAAAATATACACCAAAGTAAGCAACGATAATTCAATTAAAAATAAAGAAAACTGAGTCCATAAACAAGTCCATTTTCATTTTAGATTTGTCAACACATCGACGGAGATGAATCGAAACATTGGCTCATCGTTACACTTTAGCCCATCAAGTGATATGGACATTGGCACACCAAATCGAAAGATATCATCACAATCGGCGAGCGGTATTCTGCTGAATAGCTCAAATCACATGAATGTAAATATGAATTTGAATAATAGTCATGGAAATTATGTGGACATTGATCAAATTGATCAGATGCGACAACCAGATTCGCCATTTTCCCACTACGATCTGGCGAAATTTCAACGAAACTACTCAATGAACCAAAACCATCAGCATACATTCGAAAATCATTTCGGATTGATGCAAACGTATTCGGGGAATAATTTGGCCGATGCATCACCATTTACCAAGCAGTACTCAACAACACGCAAAGATCTCCAGGCGAGACAGATGGCAACGCCACTATCTTCAAACTCCCTGCCAAAGACCAATTATCTACTGGACAACTCGCCGATCTATGAAAATCAACAGCAAATTGCCGATATGACCCGCTCCGAATCGCCCATTTACAGCAACACCACTTCAAGTTTGATGTCATTGTATCATCCATCGGAGCATGGCGGCTCACATCAACCGCTGCGCAATCAATCGTCAATCAGTTCAAACTATCCACATAGCACGAATTCGTCGGAGCTCATCCCACATCCGCAGACTAATATCTACTCGAACATTATGCCCAATGATATGCCATTATACTCGAATGTACGATCATCAGCCTATGATATGGCCAACTCTAGTTTATGGGTACGTTTTTATGGTGGAAATTCCTTTCGCACTGAAGAAAAGCTTCTTTAGAATCAAATTAACTGGATTTTCTTCTTAGAAGTCAACAAGTACATCACAATCGCTACAGCAACCAGGTTCATCGGCTCAAATTCAAGACGAAGAATTACCATTGCCACCAGGGTGGTCTGTAGATTATACGTTACGGGGTCGCAAGTACTACATTGATCATAATGCAAAGACAACGCATTGGTCGCATCCACTGGAACGAGAAGGTCTGCCCGTTGGATGGCAATGCATCGACTCACCACAATACGGAATCTATTATGTTAAGTAAGTTTCTCTTCGGTTGTTCGTCTAAATGTTCGGTTTCTAAGATGATTATTTCGACTTTACAGTCACATCACGCGACAAGCTCAATACAACCACCCGTGCTATACCTCATGCTATTTGTACACAACAAGTGATCGTCACAAGCCAATTATACCTGGCCCAACTCACACACAATTTACACCACACAGTGCCTTAGTTCCAGCCAATCCATATCTGCTTGAAGAAATTCCAGCCTGGTTGCTCATCTATGTTGATGGTAAGCTATTTGCATTATTTTTGGGGCAAAATTTCATTTTTTGATTGTTATTTCTTTGCGTTTTCCAGCTGATCCAGCTACAGATCATAAATTGAAGTGGGACATGTTCAAATTATCAGAACTGGAGTGCTTTGACAGCATGATGTTCCGCATGTTCAAACAAGAAATGGAAATGCTCATTTCACGATACGAGGCCTATCGGTAAGATTCAGAAGAAAATTGTTTATTCGAAAAATCGACAGCTAAACGGAACGATTTGCAATTTATAGGCAATTGCTAAATAACGAGCTACAAAGAAGACTGCAAGAAGAGCAGCAGAAACAACATGACGGACAAGATACTGATCGGGCACAAATCCAAGAGCTAGACACACATCAACTGGAACGAAAATCAAAGAATTTATTTAGTCAATGCACACACAATTCCAATCCTTGATTTTAGATTCTCTTCTTTTTTTTAAGACAATGAAAGAATATTTTTCTATCGTTACACTCTTAATGCTTTGGACGAAATACTTGTTTCTTTCGTCTCTTTTTCATAGAACATTGTTAAATCGAAATATAAATCATTTGTGATAGTAGCATTACATATTCGTTAATTTTTTAATGTTGGATTAATTGGGGTATTCTGGTGTTTTTATGCAGATTTTGGAATCAATCACCAGCATACAAAGTCTAACTAAGCAATTCATTGGCAATTTACAATTTGGTAGCACTGTTAGGTGGATTTCTACAACAAAGAATTTGTGCCTGCTGAAGCAGGCTTTATGTGAAATTTACATTTGTTGCGTGTGACAGCGGCTTATTTTGCGGCCTTATTTTCATTCAAAAACAAACATTTTTTTTAATTTTTTATTGTTTTCATATTTGTAGGAATGAAAAAATTTATCAAATAAGCAGTATTGTTAATTTTAAAATTTTTTTGGGCAATAAAACTGTAAAGCTCCAAAGCTATAAGTCTAAAATATTGAATAGGTATTGAAAATAGTTCAAAAGCGTGCCTCAGATGTCACTGCTGTGTTGCAAACGTAGTGAAAACGGACTGTGCTTTGAATCTATTGGTGTTTTGTTTTTTTCCAGCAGTGATGCGCTGACATTCGGTCATTTCAATACCACAAATACACACACTTACCAACGCACACGAACAACGCTCTCTTTTTACAATACATGAACAAACATAACAGCTTCAATCAAACAATGTCGTGAAAGTGACCGATTTTTATTTGTGTGGCATATAGATGGCAACCGAGAAGTATTGCCTGATGCGTTGATTGGTCTGCGTTCTCTCTTTCGCAGCAACTTCACATTTTTGTAATGAATATTCCTTTGTTTTGACATAACACATGACAAATTTTGTTCAAAACAACTAAATATTGAATAATAAAGTCCAATCTCATTTCAAATCGTAATATTTCAACTGGATGAACAAAAACCGGTAAAGCTTATAAAAGTAAGTCAAGTGCTATATTCTTAAATATTTTTCTTATAGTTTTGCAGATTAAAATGAGTGGCACCAAAGATGAAGATGCATCCCGAGCTGCCTCTGACAGTTCCAAAGAAGAGATTGATGAATATTTAAGAAGTTTGCCTGAAAATCCACACAAAAAATATAGTGAAGAATATTTTTTATTCCATACATGATTTAGGAGCAAAGATTGATGAAGAACTTGAATTATTACGCCATAAACTCGGAAGAGAACCGGATTGCGGCACGAAATACGATGTCGGATTGAATTTCGAACCAGAGATGGAAGAGTTTCGCAAGTTGGAGCGAATGAGACAAAGTAACAGTAAGAATGTGCCTTCTACGTCCACTTCAATTGAAATTATTCTATCGTTCTCTCTCTTTATACAGACAATGGACATCCAGCTCAGGAGAAAGTTGGAAACAAGCCTGAAAATCAAAATAATATCGCAATCAATCCCGATGATGAAAAAAGCGCCTAGATTGGGCTTCAACTTCGAAATTCTAAAATAAAATGCAACATTCAGTTCTATGAAAATGAACCATGACGGTTGATTTTATTTGAATAAAATAATAATAAATGGTCTCACACAAAATACCAGATACTTTAATGTTCCGGGTAAAAATTCAGTTGTAATTTTTTGAATCAGATGGTTTTTAATGGTGAAGTTTTCCATGGTTTAAACTCCATATAGCAAAAAAAAATCTTTTCGTATGATTTGTGGTGGTCGCCAACAGCAATTAACCGACTCATGATGAACAATTCAAACACAATTCAGTATGTATCTTTTGACAGTCTAACATTGACTAAATTTTTTTACACATTTAAATTAATTTAAACATCGGGCACATGCTAAACCGAATTAGGCAACATTGTCTTCATCGTCATCTTCATCAAGAGGATCTACTGGTTTCTTCTTCAAATGCTCAAAGTCTTCCAATTTAAAGTCCACTGTTTCCGTGATGTTGCTGCTTCGAATAATTTTAGCTTTTTGAATTCCACTGGCCAAAGCAAATTGTTGAGCTGGCGTTAGCATATCAATTTCTGAATTCTGTAACCCATATGACTCCTTTGTGAATTTTCCACTTGAATATACCCATACTGTTTATTAAATGAAAATTTTATTGAAAAAATCAACGATTGTCAACAAAACTCGTACTCATTTACTCACCGATATAGCCGAGCATATTCCAAGCACACAGTGCGTACGCTACACTCAGCCAATTTCTGTATTTATTGGCTTTTCTGTATGGGATTGGTGTGGTATGCCTCCGGACAAATCGTCGAAGCCACATAAATCGAAACAACGACATCGTTTCTTCTATTGTTAAGTTTGCATTTGAGGAAAATTCACAAATTGAATAATCACAAGAAGATCAAAATACAGTGCAAAGCATAACCAAACTAACGAATAAACTGTCATCGATATGCATGCTTTCCGATAGGGACGTGTGTGTGTGTGTGATTTGACAGCATCACAATAGTTTTATGCGTAAAACTAAACGCAAGGTGTATCGCACGTTGTACGATATATTGAACATTTGTTGATATTGTTTATTTATTGTGTTATTTGTCGCTTTTGGGAATCGAGAATTTTGGGTCGGCGACAATAATTCATTCAGAAAGAAAATGCCTCGACAAAAATTTCGCGCCAAATATGGCAAAAATTATAGCAATAAAGGGAAAGGGAAGAAATTCGGCGGCAATAAAGTGAAAAATGCAAAAAAATCGACGGAATTTGTGAGCAAAGAGACGAAAAAGTTTAAATTTATCAAACGAAATCAGGAGGCTGAAGAAGCTCTGCGACGACAACAACAATTGGAAGGGAATTTCAAAGAACGACATGCATCCAGCAATCCATTGTTGAATCCAGACGATTCGGACAGCGAATCGGGTGAAGAGAGCACCGAAGAAGGAACTTCACTTGAACAATTGATGTCAACATTTCATGCTGCTGGCGGCTACGGCACCACATCTGATAATGTCATTGAAAGCGAGGAGTCGGTGGACGAAAAAGAGGAATCAGACAATGAATCGGACGATATGAATGAAGGTATTTTCAAATTTGAAGAGCAATCACAGCCAAGAGGCCGAAAGTATCGATCGTCAGAAGAGGAGAACAGTAGATCGGATGAGGAGAACAGTGGATCGGATGAGGAGAATAGCGATGATGAGATGCCAGATGATACGAGCCACAGTATACTTCGACCGGAGGAGTATGAGAACAAAGGTAATTTCGATGATTCCATCGAAGATGGCGATTATTCTGGCAGCGAAGGGAGTGAACCAGAGCTAGATGAAGAGAAAGAGGACAGCGATGATGAAGGTGTGCCTGACATGACTAGTGCCGATAAATTCAATCTTCATTTGAGTTACGATTTGAGTCCACAGTTGCTGGAATGCCTGAACGATACACATCTTTCGAAAAAAGAGATTTTAAACTGGCCAACATTGGGTCGACTTCAGGTTGAAATTCCAACCATAAACGAGGAGGCAGAACGCAATGAACCAGCGAAAAAGAAGAAGAAAACTTTGTTGGATGATGATACGGTGTATGCGACTGAGGGAACGGTTCCAAAATTAATCGAAAGTAAAAATGTGGATTTAGAAGAAATTGGCGTCAAAGTGCAACTGCGACCTCATGTTGTGGCCGCAAATAAGTGCAATGTGAAAGATAGCGATAAGCAATTTACCGATCTGCAATGTGAACTCTTTTCAATAATGAACAACTATCAAGATCTATTTTATCCGCAACGATCGCACGCAAATGGCGAGGAAATTCGTTTTATGTACACGTTACACGCACTGAATCACATCATGAAAACACGAACAAAGGTTCTCAACCACAATCTAAAGCTAAAAACGATGTCTGCGGCTGATTCGAAGGCAGCTACCATTATTCCGGATAAATATCGCGATCAAGGGCTGTTCCGAACCAAGGTATTGATTGTGGTTCCGTTCCGTGAGGCAGGTGAGTAATTTGACAAAATTAATGTTGTAAATCGAGCTTAACCAATCGTCTCTCCATTTTGCAGCACTTCGTATTGTGAACATTTTGATTTCAATTCTATTCCCTGGCGGCGATAAAGAGAATGCCGGTAGCAAATCACAAGTCATGCACTACAAACGTTTCGTCAGTGAATATGGCGGTGAGACGTTGCATTTTCCAAAGAAAAATCCAAAACCTGAAGACTATGAGCTCACATTCGCTGGTAATTCGGATGACACATTCCGTTTGGGTGTGACATTCACTCGAAAATCCATCAAATTGTATTCGGACTTTTATTCATCGGACATTATAATCGTTTCACCGCTTGGATTGCGAATGATTGTCGGTGCGCCCGGTGACAAGGAGCGAGACTATGACTTTTTGGCATCGATTGAAATGCTAATTTTGGATCAAGCCGATATATTTTTAGCACAAAATTGGGACCATTTGTTACACGTACTGGATCATTTGCACTTGCAACCGCAATCGGCTCGAAACACAGACTTTTCCCGGGTGCGACCATGGTGCTTAAATGGATGGTCTCGTTTCTATCGTCAAACATTGCTGTTTGCATCGCATGAACTTGCCGAGTTTCGATCGCTATTCAATACACGCTGCTCCAACTATCGTGGCAAAGTACGACTGATAAATCCCATCGAAAATGGATCAATCAAACACGTTGCGGTGCCAATTCCACAGATGTTCCATCGTATCGATGTATCGTCAATTCAATCGTCATTCGATCAACGATTCGAATATTTCATCAACAATATATTGCCACAATTTAAGGCAGCTTCAAAGGCTCACTGTTTGATCTTCATTCCGAGTTACTTCGATTTTGTCCGCATTCGCAACTACTTCAAAAAGGAAACAATGAATTTTACACAAATTTGCGAATATACAAAGGTAAGTCGTATTTGATTGGCAATAAATTTGGAACATGTTCTAAACAGTTTGATTTTCTACAGGATGGAAAGATCGATCGAGCTAGATCGATGTTTTTCCACAGTGGAGCTCATTTTATGCTGTATTCAGAGCGTGCTCACTTTTTTCGACGAACACGCATCAAGGGGATTCGTCATTTGATCATGTATCAACCACCGACTTGGCCACACTTTTACTCAGAAATGATCAATCTGATGCAAGAGGCCAACCAGAATGCACGTGACGGTATCGAAAATTCGATGAGCGTCACCGTCTTATATACAAAATACGATATGCTTCAAATTGCTTCGATCGTTGGCTCCGCACAAGCCAACGAAATCGCTCAATCAAGCAAATCAACGCATGTTTTTATGACCGGAGAGTAAATTATTTAGCGAAAAATTGTTAGAAGGCTTTTTTAAAACGCAAAATAAACTTCATCGAATACTCGAATTGTTGTTTACTTCAATTACTTTGTACACTCCTTTTACCTTTTGCGACTTCTGCGGTAAGTGAATTAAACCCGAATGATGACGCTGAAAGAAAGAAAGAATGAAATCATTGCATTTAAATGGAAAATGCATTCATGCACCGTATTAGCTTTATATTTTCATTTTTATTAATCCATCGTTTAACGTTCAATAAAACAAATATGATAAATGGTTTGATTTTCCAGCAAAATGAAAACAATATAATAAATAAATATCCTATTTATCATTTAATATCATATATTCTCTATGAGAAACAAATGTCTAATATTTTCTATCGATTTCTAACGTAAATAATAGACGGCTATGCCATATATAAATGGATTGGACCAATTTTTTTTGCACTTTGAAATTTAGATCAAATCGATTGACAATCGTAAACAATTCCACCGTTTTAATTAGTTTTATTTTGTTTAGTGGTTTTTCTTGGTTTAGCTATTCGAAGTTGCATGGAACGCGTTCTACACCTGTGTGTGTGTGTGTGTGTGTGTGTGTGTGTGTGTGTGTGTGGATTGGAGCAGTAATTTAGTTATCATTATTCTCATCGAAGTTGTAGGCGATCGACGTTTCGTTTCGAATTCGATTCAAGCCACTGGCTTCTAAATCATTCTCTAAATCTTCATCGTCCACATAGGCCACTTGATCTTTTGTTTGCATTATAAAGGAATTAGATGTTGTGCTTTGTTGTTGTTGTTGAAATGGAACCATGGTACTTCGATCGCCGATCGAACTGATATCAATGGTCGAAACGGTCGAAACGGTTGATCGGATCGATTCCATGATTTTCTTGTGTTCACGGTTTGTTGCTAGTTCGGTGTTTGGTACCTTGTGAATTCGATTTCGCTTCGATGCTTTTACACCTTTGCGCTCCTTGTTCTGTAACTGTTGATATCGGCGATAGATATCTCGGAAAAAATATTCGGCCGATACCTCGGATGAGTTGGCCAATTTAATAGCAATACTCTCTGGAATGACAATTTTTTTCGCGGTTTCTATTCAAAAGACAAACGAAGAGAAAACATAGACATAAATTAGACATAATCCACACACACAGGGCATAAGCACACAAATCGTTTATTACCGCAATTGGTTGGTGGACGAGGAGCCATGGATTTTGTGGTTGGATCCCAAATGAAGACATAGTAAAATGATAAAATGATGGCTGCCATCGATACGAATAGGATGTATGCGGCAACGGTGAGCACTTTTAAAGCTTTTTGATTGGGTTTACGTTCGTACAGTGATGATGCATTGGCTGCTTGTTGCAATCGGGCCAATTGGATTGTTTCTTCGATGCTGGACATCTTCAGTGGTTTTGCGTAATTTCGTTGATTTTTCGTTTGAAATGTTTCCATTAGCCGTTATGGTACGATGGAGATTACGTCAAATTTGGTCCTGTCTCTTGTCAAGCTATCCAATATTCACGTTTAACGCTGACGATCTATCAAAAAACAAAAAACAAAAAAATGTCAAACATTAATGCCTATTTTCAATTGAGATTTAGTTTGCGATGAAACTAATGACACCATGAAAACACACACGGATTTTCCTATTTTGATTTTCCATGAAAACGGATAAATTTCATAAGTTTTAGGCAAACGAACACCAATGACCTAAAAACAAGCATTACATGGTGCTATCAAGATGTTTTTCCACTAGAACGAAACGATTCGCTTGAATGTGGAATGGTGTCAGTTTATATGCACGACAGTGCTTTTGTTTTGCACTTGAACACATACACACTAAAAAAAAATATCACACTTGACGAAAAAATTAATCGAAAACATATAAAATGAATAAAAGGAAAATCATATGAAAATCAAATCGATTTTTCTTCTTCTTCTTCAAAGTAAAGCACGGTAAAATTGGAAAATCTGGAGATGAAAAGGAAAAAATTGCTGTCTCACACATATATGTTGAAAACAAAGAAAGTAACGATAAGTTTCAATAATATTTTGACCGTCTTCCGCTTTTTGTCTTGAATTTCCATGTGATTTTTCATGGTGAAGCAAACAAACAAATGGTGGAAAAATCGCTTTCTTGACCGAATTTATTTCGATACAATAAACAAAAATCAAGCAAAAATTGTGATATTTTGAAATACCTTCATGTCACAGTAATCAAAACACAACGCTAATTCACTGAACAAATTCCAAAGCACATTTAGACTTTTCACGCTTTGCAGCCGAAGCAGATGCAAAGGCAAAGAGGGAAAATGTTCTATGCAAAAAAAAACAACAACCAACTAGTGTGTATACTGAGGATAAATGCTATATGTGCTGTTCGCCATTAGATTAAAATCAGCAAGTGGAAAATGTGTAGACTCAAATGGATGGCGTCAAAAAAGGGGAATGTGTCGAACAACGACGCATTTTCAAGAATGGCAGTAAATCGGAGTTAGTAAGTGTAGTGTGCACCAATACAGTGTGTGTCGATACTGGCAAAAATGTACTGTTGCTATACTATCGGACTGGAGCGCTTACACATAAAGAGAGAGCCGCACTCCACAGCGTTTGCCATTTTCCCGTTTGACTTTTGTTGTCATCGCTATCATTATTGAATTTATTTCACACATAGGATTCGATTGCGTGTATATTTTTATCCTTCACTTTATATCGAGACAAGACAAGGCAATCTATTTGTTTCTTTCTCCGTTGAGACCGATGCAATGGATTCTCTCTATCTGCTTCAATTTTTCCTTCCATGTGTTGAACAAAACGCGCGTTATTTTGAATAGGCAAGCATAGTACATGCATGCCAAAAATTCGTTATTAAGATCAATCAATTTGGTATCCGATTACGACCCCCCGTGACATTTGGTTTCATGTTCGTTGAATTTATTACAATGAATTTCGGGACAAATGCAATGGAGAACACATTAAATAAAGGCTAAAAGGATGGAAATTTTACAATCGATTTTCTTTATTATTGTCTAACAGAGTAACACTGTACTTGCAGGAGCTGCTTTTCTTAATGGATTCTTTGTGTTGAACAAACTTTATGCGATTTCCCTTCTTTTTATCACTTTAGTCGAATGGTATATTTTGAATGTCGTATCGCGATTTTTTTTGTCTAAACAAAATGAATGAAACACAACTCAATAGAACGCACATGTTTGATACTTACAGAAAATACAGTTTGGCGGCATGGATTGATATTTAGCCATAGTTAGATCAAAGTAAAGACAAAATGAGGAGAAAAAGATTATGTCGATGAAAATGCATATTTTTGGCTTGGTTGAGATTCACGATATATAACTATTTTGTGAGCCTTATCGATGTTAATTAATGTTTTCGATGTGGAGCGCCGCTTCCATGTGATGCTGACGTTGATGGATCCTGTCGTTTCGGTTCCCACAGAAAGATGTAATATGCCGAAAGCATGATTGCAGCCAGCGATACACAAATTAAATACGCACAAACGGTTAATACTCGAATAAATTTCGGCGTTTTATTAGCTTCGTGGGCTTGAACAGCGTTAATGGCCTGTTCACTTGGACCGTCACTCGGAGCATCACTCATTTTTTTTTCACTCACGCTACAATCGAAACTTTTTCTATCACAAATTTATTCTATTTTATTCACACGAACAATGCAAAATACGGAAGCTTTGTCGAAGAAAGAAAAATCCATCCGATTCGCGCACTGTTCTCAACAAGTGACTGTTTACGCTTACAATCCAAATCGAACTGAATCATTAATACCCGCGCGCGCTATGGGTTTCCACCGTCTCCGTGTAACTTACGCTGAATTATTCAAGTATTTCTGTGTGTTTATTTAATTCGCCTTTGCTTATCGCCCCCACCGGTCATTGCCTACAACATGTGGAAAATGACTGTTTACATTTTCCAAGCCAAGAAGAAGTCCTATGAACGGAACGGAATGGAACGGAATGTGTGAGAGATAGAGAGAGTGAGAGACGAACACAAAGTGTAACATTCCAAATAAACAGTATTGTCTCATGACCGAATTTGTTGTTTTAATCTCTTTACGAGTTTCGTAACTATGCCGTTCCGTTTAGCATTTTCCGCATACATCGTGTTCTTTTTTCAATGGGCTAAAGCACCGCAAAAAAAAAGAAATGCAGATCTTATTGAATTCAGGTGGATGCGCTTTGAATATAAATGAAACCATACAACTGTTTCATGTTATAATTTCGAACGTATCGCAACAATGTGCGAGTGCCATTCAAGTTCAGCGGCTTTTCGATGGAAGGGAGAAAAAAAAATATGACAAAGTGCTTCATATTCGAGCAATTTTTGCGGAATTTTCACCGAAAAATTTAATTATTCGTAGACTCAATTTAATTTGATGTGTTATTTATAACTGGATCATTTTTGATTGCGTTGGATTAATAGGAAAATGTTTGATTGATTTAACAGGAACGAAACCTGACACTGAGTGCCTGCTTATATTTGCTTTTCATTATATCGACTAAAGTGCAAGGAAAAAATATGAAATTCACTATACACGAGAAAATTCAATCACGCCTTTGATTTCATACGTTGTATCTTATTTCGTTGTCGAAAAATAGAAGTTGTCAAAAACATCATAAAATATTTTTTTCTCCAAAAAAAAAGACTTCATGAGAAATATTCTTAGATATTCGAATTATGTATTGACACAGGCAAAAAATTGAATAAAAAAACAAAAATATTTATATCTGACAGATTTCACGTTTATTATATTTAAATATGATCGTTTCGAATGTTTCAACAAATGGATGGGTCACACTCAATTCTGAACGAAAATCAGTGTGAGCATAGCTACAGCATAGCGATTTTATTAGTGTGAATTTTTACTTGAGAAGAGCATTTTCTTTTGAAAATAAAGTATTCGTTAAGTTGAATTGCGAATATTTACTCAAATGGACCAGATCATAGAATTGTCAACCAATAAAAAAAATGGTGAATCCAGTTGTCGAGTTCATAACATATAAATACATCAAGTGAAAAAAACCAACCTTGATCACGACCCTATTTTGTAGTATTTCGACATTTTCGGTGTGTACCGATACTTTTAGACGAACGCCTGCTAGTACAACAATTAATATAATAAAAAAATGACATTAAAGCTCGAAAAAATATCAAGCTCATTTTATTCTTTAAAAAAATAAACATTCTTGATTTTTCTCTTTTTAGTTTTTTGGATTAACATTTTCCGGGATTTGGTTTACTTGGACCCGTTTCACACATTTTCAGTTTCTTTGGCGACGGACAATCTTTAACGCAGCGTCCACTAACACAATCATAAATAAGACCACGGATGCAATCGCAATCTGTTCTTTTGATAGCTATGCAACCTGGAGTCTCTTCGCATTGTAAAAACGCGCACATTTCTTTTGTTACCCACTTCCAGCACCATCGATGACAATTTTCTTCGGTGGGTCGTGCGAAACCACTAGCATTGCAACCTACAAAATGAGATGAAACTATATTTTCCGTAATATCAATTATTTGAGTTGTTTATCATTTGTGATATAAAAAATGACAAATATCAGGGCAAATAGCTTGAATGCAGAATCCATTTTCTTCAACTTGAAATTCATTCGAAAATTGAATCTATACTGATCTGAATTGCCTGGATTTCGTGTGTATATATTATTAAAAATTCAAAACACTTATGCAATTCGTGCAAAATTAGTAAGAAACAGATAAGCTTTATTTATTTTCATGTCAATGAATATATTCCATATTGTATTTTTTTTCCACACTTGAGTATACAATTCAATGAAAAGATACGTTGTTATTGTGCACAGCACAATCTCATCAATTGATGTCAGTAAATCATTTCATTTAATCAAAACTCTATAAATAACGAAAACCATTCATTTGAACAAAGAGCACTTGTGGTGCCTCTTCAGTTGGCCACAAGAGTGCTCTGGCGTTCGCATTTTCGACGACTTCAAAGTAAACAGCTGATTTATTTGACAGTCGTCAGAATATTCTGCATTTGTGTGGATGGTTAAGTTCGTGTTTACAATTAAAAATGTTCTGTTCGTTGAGATATTGTGTTCGTACATTGAATAAATCGTCCGTTCTGGTTGGATTTCGTGGATGTTCGCAATTCGCTGAACAAACTCAATCGCATTTCGGCAAAAATGGACACTATGATATAATCATTGTTGGCGGTGGTGCGACTGGCATTTCCTTAGCCGGCGCAATCGGTAAGTCAAAGTCAAATGAAAATAGAATTTGCAATTTACTTAAATTATTCTGAATATTTGTAGCCAAGAATCCAAAATTGAGTGAGAAAAAGGTATTGTTGTTGGATGGAGCACCAAAATTTAAGGGCTACAGCGAGAATACCTACAGCAATCGAGTTTATGCCATAAACCACAATACGGTTAGATTGATGAAAGATATTGGAGCATGGGACACCATCAAATCAATTCGATGCCGAGCTGTCAAACAGATGCAGGTGCGTATACCATTATCAATTTCCATATGATCGTTGTCAATAATAATAATAATTGATTTGTTTAGGTTTGGGACGCATGCTCGGATGCTTTGATCACATTCAATCACGACAATTTCATCGGTGATGTCGCTTACATCGTGGAAAATGATGTGCTGGTCCATTCAATATTAAAAGAGCTAGAACCATTCGATAACATAACCATAAGAAATGATACAAAAATTGATAATGTTCAACTCGAAAAGGACGGATTAACATACAGCAAAGTACAATTGAGCTCTGGTGAAGATTTCAGCGCTGAATTACTGGTAAACATTGATTTATTGTCCATCTGAGCATTTATTTTACAGTTTTTAGATCTTTTTCTTCAAGTATTTAAACATAATGAGTGCCTGTATTAACCTTAAGCATCCCAATCTCCTTGCAAACATCATCGATCTTCCTGCTGAGAACCGTTTGCATATTATCCAATTTATTGGTTAGTTCATTCATTTGCGTTTTGACCGCACGAATCTTTTTGTCAAGTTCGATGAAATTCGACGAAATGCATTCGACAGCAGCTGGTTGATTGGTGTTCACGCTGTTCGGTCGACGTTGACTTTTCATCCAAAATCGATCTTTTTTCGTTTGATTTCGTAAAAATGGTTCGCCGCCACACCGTTTATTCAGCGAATCTGCAAAATAAGCCATGTTTTGCTCACGCTTTCGTCGTCTCATGCTTACATTTCGATCACGACGTTCCGCAACCAATTTGTAAACACCCATTGCTAAATCTTTGGGCAATCGTCGATCTCTTGGGTCATTTGGCCGAAAACTGAATTGCAAATGGTATCGTGATGTTCGCAAAAGGGCAGCCTCTTGACAGAGTCGAATGAATTTCGGTGGTGCGGATCGCAAAAGTTTCGAAAAGAAAAGACTCTCTAAACGTGCAACCAACTCCACTTGTCGTGTTAATCGATCCAAACCAGCCGACGCTTGTAACCCTTGAATATCGCTAACTGCCAAACCAACCAATAAATTGGTTAGAATGATGGTGACAAGCACTACAAAGGCAAAGAACAATAAGTGCGATGTGACTGGAAATTGGATTTTGAACTTATCGTCGTAAAAAATATCTTCGAATTCCAATTCGCCAGACATCATTGTTATCGTTTTTAACATTGTCCAGAAAATCGATTTGAATGCTGGATACGAGTTAAACAATACACCGAAACTCAATCCAAACGCAATTAATAGACAGCAGTAGGCGAGTAGAAATTTAGCGAAATTTACAGCTACTTTGGTGAACATTTGCACGTACAATCCAAATATTGGAAATCGACCCACAATCATCATCAGCTCCATCCAGACGAGAAATATCACAATCGCCGCAACGTGATACTGACCGTCTGGCACTTTTTTCAAATCATCTATTACCACTGTGGTTGGCGTCTGAAAAATGGAATGAATCGAATTTAAGAACAAAATTCAGTTTTTATCATTAGAAATTCATATTGAGTGAACGAAATATTATTATTGTAATCAAACTCACTGCACATAGAAACACACCGAGTATGATAACCATTTGAACCCAATTCTCCCAGCATTTTACGTACAGCGTAAAACCGTGAGCCATTTGAAAAAACTCTTTGAAAAGAAGTACAAAATTCATGATGATCACAAAATACCCAATTGGCTTAACGTAATATGGCGGTTCACAATTCACTGGCTCTGGTTCATCAGGTGTAGTTGAATATGAAAGAATCCCATGATTTCCAGGGCATTCTTTTTCATATACTCCAATGATCAACGCAGAGAACAGTATCACAAACAAAGCATGATAGAACAAACTGAATAAAAAGAATTTCCGAATTCGATGCCATTTCAGGAATAAGAATGTTTCGCACAATGGATGCTTTAGAATACGCTTTTGACCAACTTCGATGAAGGCAAGCATCAAATCAGTTTCACCACGCTGCGGATTCGGTACCAACAGTCGGAAATCCATTTTTATTTCGCAATCGACATCGCCGATTTCATGCTCATTCACTTTGATCGAATGATCGAATTTGGAGAGAAATTTTGGGATGACCTCAGGCGTGCGTCGAACAATAAACGATAATGCGGTTATACCACCACCCGTTCGAGCCGTTATATCGGCACCGTACTCTGGAATATTTGGAACAAAAATTCGATTACGATCAAATTATTGACAAATTTTTATGATTTAAAAAAAAAATAAATAAAAGAAAATTCATTTTTACTGTACCTATCAACAAAAAAGCACAGGCACTGGATTCATTGAGTGCAGCTATATGCAATGGCGTATAACCATAGTTATCGGCTCGATTAACATCAACGCCAGCCAAAAGTAGATTCCTTGTACAATCCAAACATTTAGATTCCTTTACAATAGCCGCATGCAGTGCACTTCGACCTTCCGTATACGTTGCATTGACATCAGCGCCATTTTCAATGAGAATTTCCACAGTTTCGGCACATTGTGATAAGCATGCTAAATGTAGCGGTGTTTTTCCTTCGATATTTTTGGCATTGACATTGGCCCCATGTTCCAATAGTATTTTTACACATTCCGTATAGTCATCTTCGGCGGCCAAATGTAGGGCGGTCATACGTTTTTTACCAAATTGCGATCGAACATCGGCGCCATGGGCCAGCAACAATTTCATGCAATGAATGTTTCCCAATGAAGCCGCCGTATGCAACGGAGTTTCAGTATAAACTTGCGGTGTATTCGGATTGGCTCCATTCTTTAGTAGCACTTCCACGCAGGCAATTGAATTTTTCTCAACAGCAATGTGCAGAGCGGATCGTTTCTCAATACCGGCATTCACTTGTGCCTTGTTATTAATCAAACATTTAACACACTCAACACTGCATGCATTGCAAGCACAATGCAACGGTGTTATTTTCTTTGCGAAATCCCACTGATTGACCAAGGCTCCTCGATTGATTAACAATTTTACAATGCATAAATTGCCAGTGGAACAGGCCAAATGCAGAGCACTTCTACCTTTGTTGTCCGTACAATTGACATCTGCGTAAAAATCATTGAGAAGCCTCTGTACCAAATCACGACGGCCCATTAAAATTGTCAACAAAAGTGCATTGTTCACATCATCCGGTGCAACGGTGAAATCCTGCCCTAAAACCCATAAAAAAATTACATCACTGATTGATTTCATTGATTATTTTCGTCAATTTCATTTACCATCCATATCGGCCGACGTTAAGCTGTTTAGTATGGCTTCGGCATTTGGTATATCTTTCATGTTTTGGTCGTCAACCTGAAACAATCGCCATATTTCAAAATCAGCCGACTGCTGTTGAATGTTGTTGCTATGGAGTTTCAGTGTTTCATTCTTAAAATCACCGCAGCACGTGCTCTCACTCGTTATGCTTTCACTCCGTTTGTCATCTTCATCATCATCAACTTCATCGTCGTCGACACACTCCGATACGTTATCATCATCGTCGATTAAAATCGACTCCTTTTCTTGACTTGAAAGTTCGCGGTCACGGCGCATACTATTTTCCTAGGTTTTGTGCATTTTGGAAAGAGATAAATCACTTTTTATTTTCATCAATTATAAATTATTCATTTTCATTTCACTCAACACGTACTATAACTGTGAGACGCACACTTTCCATTTCTTTGATTCATAGAACAAGGCGACAGCCACTGTCTGTTGAAAGAATACACAATCACTAATGATCGTCGATTTAAGTTTTTGAATTCCCGTCGTCTTCTATATCATCAACGCTAATCGGTTGCTACGTGTTTTTTTATTTTATTTTCTATAATTTTTGAAATATGATCAGAAAAGAGCAAAAGTAATAAAAAAAAAAAACGAAACGAAAAAACAACAACCTTTTTCCAAGGACTATGCTTGACACGGCTATTAAATATCACGATAATATCACTACAACAATAAATGGATATCAGTAAAAATAGACAGAAAATGTATAAATATTTGTGAAAATCTTAAATTGTCACTGTCCAATTTCATGAACGAGTCACAGAAAATGTGTCCCGTGAACGCAATTTACGTGTAACATGTGAATAAAATACGAACAAATTGTGAAAAACTAAACAAGCCGAAACGCGACGCTTCTTCTATTCCAATTTCATTCGCTTATGGAGGACTCCAAAAGTGAATTGTTTTCGCACAAGTTTCGAATTGAATTGATCACTTAGGAAAACTTGCTTGTTCACATGTAAATATACAACAAAACCATTGAACATTTACCACAAAACGGCCGTTCAAGTGTTCAATTCGCAGTTTGAGTGATGCCAATAACAGATATGTTAACGATTTGTTTATATATTTCGAACGAGTACGGTGGAATATTCGTTGTTTTTTCCGTTCGTTTCTTTCGGATTCGTGGTTACACGGTTTTAAAATTTGAAAGTGCCAGTGATGAATCGAGGCTTCGAAGAAACAAATTGTAATTTTAAAATATCACATCACAAACGGACAAACTGCAGAAACACACAATAACTGTACAGATGAAGCAGAACCAAAAAACCGAATTCGTGCGGTTCGATTAGCAACTTTGCTACGCTTCGGATTGTGTGTAAGCGTTGGTGCGCCAATCAAATGGAAATGACTTGGGATGGAGAGTCACGATCATGAAAATGTAGCTCAAATGTGATAAAATGTAATTCGCATGTGGTGGAAATGAACACATATTAATTATGTCGTTACAGAAGTTCAGTTGCGCGTCTCTGTTGCCGAAAGTGAAAATAGAAAAGAATGAAAAAAGAATGCGACACAAAAAGTATGAAGACATTTTGGCGAGTTTAAGTAATGTAGTCTTGTGTTATTTGGGAATTCGGCGTTTAATTCTTACCTTGTAAACAATGAAACCTAAAAAAAGAGAGTGAATAATATAAACAAAGCCGAAAATGAAATGAAAAAAAAAAGTCGTTCGTATCTCTTGATTTGGTCTCTTTTTCTCTCTCGCTTTCGCTATTGCCATGTTCTCTCAGATCTAATTCGTGAATCCGGTGTGCGAACGTGCAAAGTGTGGAAAACCCCCCGCAAAAAAAGAAGATCATGTGAGGGAGTAAATAAAGTGCGCCGCATCGATCGCTATAATTTTTCATTTGCACATATATGTATAGATTGTTTGTTTTATTTCAAAATGAATCGACGCTGTTGTTTATCCATGCTCAATTTTATAGCATTTAACATCGTTATGGTGTGAAAATAGTATACTCTATACTGTCATCCGCGTGAAATCCACACAAATCGCTCGTTTTATGGAAATTTGCGAATGTTTTTATTTTTTCTCATTCAATTCCTCTTCCGACGCTCCTATTGATGCTATGAATAATTTTCGAAGCCATATTGATCCAGTCAATCAACACTATTTTTCGCGTATTTTTTTTCTCTCTTTCTCAAAACATTGTAGCGATACTTGGAACATTCACCATTTCCCGTAAATTAATTTCTTGACCTTCTGAGCTGAATAAAATTCCATTTTTTTTTAATTTCTTTTTTTCTGTCTATGAAGGTTGGGGCCGATGGAGCCAATTCGTTGGTTCGCAAACAGATGGATGTGAATTATTTCGCACTAAACTATAATCAAATGGGATTGATTGCAACGGTTGAATTGGGCGAATGCGAAGACAACTTCGTGGCATGGCAACGTTTCCTACCCAGCGGTGTGATTGCTCTTCTACCACTATCCGATAAACTCAGCTCAATCGTTTGGAGCACCGATATCAAACACTTCAAACAGCTAATGCAATTAAACGACGCTGATTTCATCGATGCCGTGAATAATGCATTTGTAAGGATTTTACAATCATTTTATATTCTATTTCAAAGCAGGTGATGTTTCACTTGTTCCGTTGAAAAATTATTAATTGGATTTGTTCGTATTTATTTTCCAAACATGTCGGTTGCAGTATCAAAAGTATGAAAAGAATTCGATGGTGGAATTCGCAATGGGTGCCGTACGAACGATTTTAAATAGCAACTCACACTCTGTGAGACAATTACCTCCGCAAATAACCGGATTGTATGGGAAATCGAGAGCTGGTTTTCCACTCGGTTTTGGACATTCTAGTAGCTATGCCGGTCGTGGTGTTGTTCTCATTGGGTAAATTACGTGTTTTTCATTCAGGAATTTTGAAATGGGGAAATTCGATGGAATTCAAGAAAAAAAAATTCTTCTTAAACTCCTTCTCTTTTTAAACTCGCTCAAAACAAAAATATTTTTCAAGAAATACAATTTTATTCAGAATGAAAAAAAATGGAAGAAAATAGTTACGAAAGCGAGATGTTTATTTAGAAAAATAATTTTGATTATAAACAAAATTAATTGATTGAAAAACATTTATTTTTTTTTTCGTTCATTTTCCAGAGACGCTGCTCATCGCATCCATCCGTTGGCTGGTATGGGATTAAATCTTGGATTCGGTGATGTGAAATGTTTAACCGATCATTTGGCCAGAGCGACATACAATGGGTTCATGCTGAACGAACTAAGTCATTTATGTGAATATGAGCAGCAACGTTTGAAACTCAATGTACCGATATTGTTGGGTGTACACGGTTTGCAGTGTCTTTATAATACAGATTTGAGTCCAGTTGTACTGGCGCGCAGCATTGGTTTGCAGATCACTCAACAGATGGCACCCATGAAGGTACGTTCATAGACGTTCATAGAAATCATGTCTACGTGACTCGTTGCGCTTGTGAATGTGCTAGAAAATCTAGAAATTTTTGTTCCCACAAACATGTCACTGCATGAAATCTGTTGTTGCACTAAGACCATCACAAGTGAACAAACACATTTCGTACATGTGATTGTTTGTGTGCTCATATGTGATTCATTTATGAACAATGAAACTTTCAGATGTTTTCTGTTTCTTCTTCTTCTTATTCATGAATCTTGCAAGATTGCAAGATATGAAGAAATATCGCAATATATTGCGTTAAATGACGACTTTCATATATGAATTTTTTTAAGAAATTGAGACCAATTTTTGTTATTTTTTTTTCAGAAATTCTTCATGGAAAAGGCGATGGGATAGGCTCGAACTTTGGCTATTATTTGTAATTAGAGAAAATAAAACTTTCTATTGAAAATGAAAAAAAGTTTTGAATTCTTTCATTTAATTGTCTATAAAATACTGTACTTTTGGCTTTTGATTCAAAATAATGTTGAATTTAGTAGCACAAAACATTGGGCTATGTTGGCCAAGGGAAAATTTTCATTCCACCATCAAAAACTGTAATGAAACGAAGAAAAAAGAATTGGGTAGGATTGAATGAAGGTCAAAATGTTGCCAGACAAAACATTACATATTTGGTTGCTTCATTCCAATAATAATAAATAGTCTGCTGCAAAATTGTATTGATTATCCTCCTACATGGAATATGATTATCTAACTCAAAACAAGTATAGAGACGGTTCTGTACATTTCTGGATAATTCGCGTCAACAGCTTTTGATGTCGTAATTTGCTTGTTTACTGCATATTTTTGGAAAGTAATAAACAAGTCGATTCAAATGCGGCCAATTGGATGCTTGTAAGACACATTCGATACTAGTTATCATTTGAAATAGTAAACATAATTTTGGTTTTTTTCCTCTGAAAATTATAATGTGATTCATGTCGTATCATCTCATTAGCCAATGGAATGGTTTTTGAACCGAGTTCATGGATATTATCTTATTAATTTCACTGTATTTTCCTAATCAATACCGTCTGCACGAATACAATTACACTAGCATACAAATTTGTAGCACTAGTACAGGGGCGAAGTGCAATAGTCGAAACAAAGAAAAATGAAATTCAATATGACCAGATTGAAAAGAAAGAGAATTTTCATCGATTAATTTGAGAAATTTCGAAAGTTTCATGCATAAAATGTGCATCAAAAGTGGAAAATTCTGGAAGTATCGAATCGATCTGATAAAAAATGAATATTTCAGTGGAAAAAAACACGTATTCACGTATGACGAATACACATATAGGTGAATCACTCGATGCGCATGTGTAAGTGCTATACTGTGCTGCACACATGGGAGAAGTGCTAGAACGGAGCAAACGGTATAAGTAGAGGTGCTGTTGCCATGATGAAATCATTCAGTTTTTGTGATTCGTTGAGTGCGCACCTCTCCTTAGTACAAAAAGTGTTGAATCGTTGAACAGTACTACAAAGTGAAAGGTTATTTTTTTTTTCTCGTCATCGCACAGCAGTTTAACAAAGAGAAAAAAAATACGAACTGAACATCGCAAAACGAAATCACAAATTCAGGTGTGTTTTGGGTGTATATAGTTGCATATTTATTACAGTAAATAAATCCCTTTACCACAAAAAAGACATTTTTACAACCAAAAAAAAAGCGAGAATTTACTGCGCATATATTACAAAGCCAAGGTTAAACGTATAGACGGCCGCCATCTTGAAAAAAATTTTTTTTCATTCGGTCGATACAAAAGAAAGACTTTGAAACAAGAACCAAATTAGTTACCGTAAAATAAAAAACGCAATCAAATATCAAATGAAAATGGTTTCAACACACATTATTTCAAATTACGATGTACGAAAGGGCCGTGCCTTTTCATTATTCGACTGGATTGGAAAAGTGAAATGTAAGAAGACGGAAATGCGTCGCAAGCGACGTCATCAAGACTTACGTGTGGCGGCCATTTTGACAACGGCCCTCATTAGCGCTGAACGAGAAATGCGTATCAAACAACAGGAACGAGCATTGAAATGGGCCAAACTAAATTTAGAAATTAGTCAACAAAGTGAACCAAAATCAGCCGAAGAAGAGGAAAAGCATAAGCGAGAAGTTAGCGAAATGTGGAATAGTGAATTGAGTGAATTAGATGAATTTATAAATAGTTTGAGCCAAATTAAAACATCGGTAGTGCGATGAAGAGAGGGCAACACACATGTACAGAGAGTGAGAGAGAAAAATCGTGATACGCGCACACACACACACACACAGGCACACACACATTAATAGGAAAATACAGAAATTCATAAGCCGTCGGACAAACAAAGAAATGAAAAAGAAAAGCTTCCTTTTACCCACAACCACATACAGAAATACAACATCAAACAAACAAAAAATCCACAAAACAGACAGAGAAAAGCAGATATTTTAGCCAATTATAGTTCAACGGAAAAAAAAAACAGTCAGTCAGGGAACAATTAATTAGATCAAAAACTTCTTTTTTTTTCATTGCCTTCTGCCTTTGTTTGAACAAGATGAAATGATATAATGATTCACATTTAGGGTCTTGTTTTTGCAAACAACCATCCATAGAATTTCTGTATAGTTCTTTTTTCGTTTAACATTGTGATATATGGCAAATATACTATGCTAGATTTTTCATTTGCAGTACGAATTCAGTATGTGAAAAGTGACGCACTCATTCGACGTCCCGGGCATGAACGCTTTGGTTCGTCACATATCCAGCTAAACTATTTAATTGGTTTGTAGTGATCACTTTTAATTTAAAGCATATTTATTCTCCTACTCCCAGGATGAAGAACGTTTTTTTTTTTTCTTCTTTATTTAAAAATAATTTTCCGTTTTTAATTCGTTTTATTTAAAAAGAAAGAAAAAAAAACTTTTTTTTTTTTTGAGAACTGAGATAAATTTTTTTTTCTACCCAAAAAAAAATTTGACATTGAACTGATTCATATTGAATCTTATAGCCGAATTGTAAAACTCATCAAAACAAAAACTATTTAGCATTAAATAAAAATGTAAAAAACTGTTTTTATGTAAAAAATACATTTTATATCTTTCATTTATTTCTACAGCGGAGCACCATAATTAAACTAACCATTTTTCCTATGTATATCTTTCAGTCTTTCTGGGGTCGATCATTCAATGGGTTGAATGAAATGTGGCAAGTTGAGAGAAGAGAGTTGAGCGTGTTTCGGTCTCATTCATGCATAAATGTATGTTGCAGTCGCAAAATGATGGAAATGAATTGATGTGTTCGCGGCGAATAGGCAGCCAAATTCTTTATCGTGTGGGTCGTACGCGCTGGTCGCGCTGGTCTCGATTATCGATTGTTTGAACAAAAACTGGTTCTGTGTGTCTTCTGTGTTCTGTCTACCATCCGAGAGAAGAGGAGAGATAGGCGGGTCAGCTGTTAGCTTGTGTGGAGGATGGATTGATTTGCGATTCTGGCTCGGTCGTCTGCATCCAGATACCACAGCTAATGCGCGTGGCGAAACCTTCATCCTTGTTCCCAAATCGACGCTTTATCGAATTGGACTCTCGCTAGACTTGGTGTCGCTTCTGCACAGATACAGTACTCACAAACAGACAATAGTGATTGTCACACCCAATGACGATAACTCAGGTCACCCTTACATTTTGAACATCATAAACCCCATAAACTTTATCTTTTATAGAATGAAAAACAAAACATTTATCTCGAAATCGAAAAAAAAACCAAAACACATACCAAACGCATACCGAAAATTTGGGCGCAAACGTGCGACAATTTTCTGGCGGCTTGTACGCAAACATGGCATCGCCAACGGGGGCTGACTTTCTACTACTACTACTAGCTTACTCATCGACTGTACGAAAAATTGGCACACATCGAGCTTAGCTGATGACCGTGGTGTCTTCTTCTTTTTCTTGTTTTTGTTTTCTTCCTCTTCTTTGAATGTGTTACCGTTTAATAGAGAAAGTGGGTCGCACGGAATGACAGTCGGTCGGGCATCGCAGATATTGTTTAGTCATATGAAACCGCCTAGGCGCTGAATGGCATCATATCAGTCATCACAAATCACACATAATCTCGTCGACCAGAACGTGAACTGAAACTGCATCACTGATTCACATTGTCCTCTACTACCCGAACAAAACCAAACTCACAAAACGAGACGTTGCAAACGTTAGCGTATTGATAAGTTGCTCAATATTTAACAAAATCAAACAATTCTATCCCACAAGTCGGCTCCTGAATGGTGCGCGACGCCTCAACACTAATGAGTCTGTTGTATTCTTTAGCAGCACTAGATCAATAGCACACACACACACACACACACTCGCACCGCATAAAGTCGATGAACGCAACGATGAATCGATCTGCAATTCGGTATCATTGCAATGCATCGCACCGTGAACGCACGTGATAGCAGCTCGTAAAACATACACACTCTATCGAGAGACAGAATTTCGTGTCCACTTCAAGGATAAGTGATAATTGCAGACTTAAATACAAACACCTTACCCTTAAATCGTTCCAAAAAAAAAAAAACCAAACATACAACATCTTAAAGCGGCTTCGAAAGCTGTTCATTTACTCATACAATTGCTGTTTCTTCTTCATCTAGACGTGAATTGCCGTTCTTTGTGAGAGAACAAATACGGTTGGTCGGGCTACCAAATCCGTTTTGGTCGATCCAGTGCTAGACTTTCACCTCACACTCGAAATGTTCGATAATGAAGATCGTGTAAACAACAGACCTGTGGTGCTAAGGCAATCAATTTTCTCACATTTTTTTTTTCTTCTTTAAAAATTCAAACAACATACACAAATCGATTAGCAAACCAACAAAAAAAAAACATTTGTTCCGAAATAACACCCCATCCCAAACCATAACCGGGGTGCAATTGTGTTCCATTACCAGTTTTTTGCAGAAAATTTTGTTTACGAAAGATAAAAATGCAGCTAGCTGAATCGTATCACGCACTTGAGACGTACACACAGCCATACCAAAGAGTGAATCGGTCAACGCATACTCATAATCAGCACGTGTCTTGCAATTATAAGCGAACAAAATTGTGTTTGGTCGATAAGTAGAATCACATTCAAGTTGAACATTCAAAAAAAAAAAAAAAAAAAACAGATCGCATCCGGGTGTTACCACCAAACGGATCGCTTAAAACCATAAACAAAAGTCTTCGTCTATTCACTAGGAATTAGGACAGATAATTGGCTGTTAAAATTGTCGGTGGTGTGTGTGAGGTGATCCCATCCGCAGCTAGTCTCTCTGATACACATGTGAGCGTACGTGCGTGCAGAAACTGCAATAGTGGCTACTGTTTTCGGACTGAAACACATTAGCGCAAGTGATCTCGTTTTCTGTTTTGTGTTAAAGTGCATGAATTTTTCTCTCTTAGAACTCTTTCAGCTTTACCAAAATGCCCATGCGCTCATGGGCATCCTTTTTTTTTAACTAATCGAACAGTTTTTCTTCTGATTTATTTTATCCTTCTGCCACAAGAAAAAAAAACACTTAGTGAATGTAGTTGTTCTTGTTCGTGACAAAAATTTTGTTATACTCATCAAATTGTTGTACAAACATACACACACGTAGCGGTGACGATACTAACGAGCGATTCGACGACACATGTTTGTTTCGATATCGCGTTTGGGCGGTCATCGTAAATAGTATTCAGCAAATCGATCAAATTCTCTTACACACAATTTAATTTGTATCGAAAAGCGTAAGCTAAACCATTTTCCAATTCAATTGTCGTAAAAAAATTTGTATTTCGGTTACAGGCTCTTACACATAATACCCAAATGGCTTAGTTGAATCTGAAAAAAAAAAACCTCGGTCAACCAATGTGGACGTTCAATTCCCCTTCCGTTTCGGTTTCGGTTTCAAAAACCTAGTAAAACATGTACATTTTTTTTCCTAATGAGAGAGAAACAAAAGAAAATAATTAATTGTAAAATGATTCAATCATTCTTAATCTCTCTATCTAATGTTTCAATTGATGAAAACACATTAATTTTTGTTGTAAAAATTCGTATGCAATTGTATTGTACACACAGAATGTTCCAATTTTGTAACGGAATCTATTGTAACAAATGTTGTGTTTAACGATTAAGTCCAAAAATGAAATTGTATATTGTGAAACATCTAGTCAGATAGACGAAAAAGAAAGACGCGAGCGTGCGGGCGTCCCGTGTTGAACGAGTTTCATGCTATAATTTGGACGTTACCGATCCAATTCATGAATACTCAGGTATTTTGGTGCTGCAAACCAATTTTAAACACATATCATAAATTTTATTTTTGTTATACCATTTGTTGTATTCCGGCTTTCGCTTCGGCGTCAGCCAAAAAACACTAACGGTTTCTCTTTTCTGAGCAGAGATTTTATTTTGAGAAAAATTAGAAACTAGATCATCTTTGTACCCGAACGAGTCTTAGTGTGTCAATTCACGTGCGACGAGAAACCGAGCAATTAAGTGGCAAATGGTTCCATACACAGCCTAGATCGTTTCCAATTTCATACGTTGCATACAGTTTAACTCTCAGAGAGTCATCGCAGAACAATCTGTCCACCAGCAAACCGGTTACAAAACAAACAAAACCATTTCTATTAGACACATTTTCGTAGTTATTAGCTAAATGAAACATTAATTGGCATCCAGCTTATACCCGCAATCCGGGTGAATAATTTAACGTTCAATCGAAATACCTCTTCTATTTCCGTATAGAACCTATAGCATTAGTGCGGCCGATGACCGATTCAGAGCACTCTGCTCTCGAACAAACAAAAAAAAAAAAAAAAAAAAAAACAAGAAATGAAACGAAAGTTGAGCGGGGAAACACATTTGGCCAACAATCGAACACCTTTGAGGTTTTGATCAACGGCACTCACTTACAATCAATGCAATCTACACAATATTGCTGATGCCTTCGACTGAGTATGACGCGAACTATCTGTCGCGCGGGGATGGTAAACGAATCTTTTCGAATTGCGAGCAAACGAAACCATCTTTTAGACTCATTTCAGATTTACAATGATAGACTAAGAGCAACCAAAACCACATTTGTTATGCGGTTCGAATGAGCTGTTCCGAGACTTATCTTTCACACTTCCTCCTCCGTGTGTGTGTGCGCACTGAGACGCACTGAGCAGATTCTTTTTACTTTGACTGGTTCGCGGCGCCGAACTATGCGCTTTTACTGACTAATATGACTTGGCATCACTTACATCTTTTGTTACGCGCGTGCGGGGCGTCTGACTTCTTGGGGCCATTCTTTCTTTGAATCAATCATCATACACACAATCATCTGTTCTTCCTTTGTGCATAATTACTCACCAATCAAACGGTTAGCGGTCTTTTATCAGCGATGCACCTTTCTTTGATGACACATTTTGGGGCTACTCATCCAGAATACTTACTCTTAAACCGCACTTGATACATTTCGAGCTAAATTTTACGATCTGTGGAGCGAATGTGCGTCGAATTCAAACACTTGATTTTCAATGTCAAACACTTTCGACACTATCCAAACAATTCATCAATCAACGATTCATCAGACGACAATGTTGCAGCAGTTATTTGAACCATACTAAATCATTTCGAAAACAAACTAAATTGAAACTTCAATCAGCTATCATTCAAACTGTATATGGACTTTATCACCTTGGGAAATATTCAACTCTTTATTCTTGCTATTGAAATTGTTACTACAGCACAAGTAGCCAAACATAAACACATTCGCTCCAATGCTACGAATATCTTGTTCGTTACCTGTACATTATAATTCCATCGATGGATTCGACGAACATCAAATTTGATATAAAAATCTAGAAACAGTGGAGATCGAAATCAACGTCGACGGTGCCTGGGATGATGCAAACATCGACAGCCGAGCCTGATGGAGAAAAAACAGCGACAACGGTGCATAGGATATAGCAAACTGCGACAACGGAGCATGGGATATAGAAAACAACGGCAGCCGAGCCTTGAGAGGCATGTAATCAGCGTCGATGGTATCTAGCGGGCTTGAATGGTTCAACGTCAACGGTGCCTTGGGATTCTTTGGGGCAATGGACAACGTCAGCGGAGCCTTGTGGATTTTGGACTCATTCAACGGCATCGGAGCCTTGTGACTGAGGAGGGATTGGACTGGACTGGATCATCGCCAGCGGAGCCTATTGGAGGAGTTCATCGCGGAGTGGAGCTGAGCTGAGCTAAGCTGAGGATTGCTGTTTTGGTTTTTACCAGGCAAAATGTGTGGAATTTTCTTTTAGCCATTTTACAACTTCATCACTCAACTCAAAAAAAAAAATTTCTCAATTCAAATGTCAGTTGACTGCAATTCGCACGAATCGAGCCCAAAACGATATCTTCGAGCCAATTAATCGGAACTAACACCACAAAATATCAAACTCATCCAAACACACAACATTTATTGCATATAATCCACACTGCACACACATCGCAAAAGCAGCTTTAACACATCCGATTGGAGTGCGTTGATGTTGAAAGCGTGCGATTTATCGTCGTATTGTGGGGTGATTTCGAGACTGAAATTCAACGATTTCGAAGATATCGTCTAACTATTAATCAGATTACACAACTATGATTTACCAACTCAATGAATTTTAAAGCGATTAACGAATATCATTCACGAACTTTCATCAAATCATTGTTCACATGTTTTGTTGCACCAAATTGTACATATATATAGTTTTGTTTATTTTGACAAATATCTCTATAGAAAACCAATTGCAAAAACATAATGATTTCATTTTGAGACAAAAACGATTACAAAATCGAGTACGAACCGAACGAAAAATTGTTATGCGAGAAAAAAAAACAAATTGTTGAAATACTTGTTGAATCATGAAATTTGATGAAACTGTCGATAAGCTAAGGTCTGCTTTGTATGAGATGTAACACAACTTTTCCTCGACTTGCTACATTTTGACTGTGATTTCTTTTCCTTAGGTGCTTTCAATTTGATTGTATTCATTTCTTTTGTTTGCTTTTATGTTGATATTTATTAACTTTCTCTTCGTAATTTCCTTTTTTTTTTTTATTTATAAATCCTTGTACGGTTTATAACGTTGTTGAAAAAAAAAATTATATGATTGAACCATCCTATCATCGAGCTCCGGAAAAAATTATCTTCTATGAGGAAAAAAAAAAGAATGAATTAGCGAGCCAATAAAAACGAAAAAAGTGTTGAAAACTTTTGTCTTTTAAATGGGAACATGAATAAATGCATCATTCATTTTACTGAACCGAAAGCAAAACACTCTTTTTTTCTGAATCAAGTGATTCGGTTGACTTTGAAACACAACATGGAAACTTTATCTTGCATTTATTTCGACTAAAAAAATGACATTGGTTTTTTTTTTCTGAAGCGAACAGCTAAAAGAGGTAAATATCTATCTTGAAACACTGAACTTCAATGATAATTCGTATTTAGAGATTACAAAATGTTGTTGGGATATATTTTAAAAAGTTTGGTTTAAAATGTAAGTATGAGATCACATTGAGGTATTGAAAAAAAAAGCACAGACGTTGCTCTGCTACATATTCTAGTCATCGTTGTTTGAGTATTCAAAATTATTTGTAAATGGGTAGTATGGATAACGGTCAACCGAACTTTTCAAGTTGAGAAAATCTCTTGGTGATGCCATCAACTGCATTCGTTGACGTTCCTCTTCTTGTTGTTGTTGTTGTTGCTGCTGCTGCTGAATTTGCTGCAATCGCCGTTTCTCACTCATTCGCTGTTGATAATAGTCCGTAATCCACAATGGTTTGGATGGTGTACGTTTTGCAGCAATCAAATTGCTATCGCACACTAGACTTGAACATTTATTATCATGGCATCCAACACAGATACCGCAGCACATCATTGTACCAGCACAGCGTTCACTAATCGTGCCCCATTCCTCTTGGCACACCTCGTCCGGACCTTTCAAACAACTCGTCTTATTGCAAATGTTCCTTTCGTAGCCGTATTTACACTCGAGCTTCGGATTTATTGGCTCAACGAATTTTGAACATTGCATGTGTAAATAGGTATTTCTGAAATCAAAAACAAATTCATCAAAATTTATTTCAATAATTTTTTCGTTTATTTCTTCATTTTCGTTTATTTAATCGCTTTCGATTCAATTATTGAAATTAATTTCAAAATAATAATATCAATTTTAAAAATTAAAATGGTCAAATTAATCGTCACTTACCCGAACCTACACAATGCACCGTTGAAAATACAGACGAAAAATATGGAAAAAATTAAATATTTTGATGAAGAAATCATGATGATTTTGGTTGCTAGAGAAATCGCAAAAATTTCAAATATCCTAATGAACCGATGGCTCTAAACTGTGGTCGAACTGAATCGAGCGACAGCCTTTTATACGCTGTGATTTCATGGTCATTTATTTCATTTGCACTCCACCATTCTATTCTCCTTTTTTTTTATAACTCCTTAGAATACTTAATTATGCGATTTTTCAACCCCCTCAGAAAAATCAGACAACAAAAAGCAAGAGCCTGTTGTTACCAAGTCGGTGGTGATGCTATGGTTTGGATTCGCGAAGAAATTCAATCAAGCAGAATTAATTTATTCAGTTGGCGATTTCAAGTGCGGGATACCAAAATATGAATTGACAGATTTGAGGTTTTCATTTTTTTTTTTGCTTCCATGACTTTGGTCGTACGCGTTCGGTTAGAGTGTAGACGTCAGTTTTGCATATTCAGTTCAGAAAAAAAAATTCACATGTTTCGATTGATTAAAAATAAACGCCGTTTTTCTCATTTCATCTATCGATTTATATTTAATTACTTCCTTTGCATTTTTTTTCTTTCTACATAAAATATCAATAAAAATTGTTCACTCCCACTTTCTGGTAACGTCTTTGTAGTCTCCATCCTGCGAAGAAAAGAGCACACAAATCAATTAGTAAATTGTTAAAGTAAAGAAAAGTAGAAAGAAATTTGCGCGTGGAACGATACTCAGCTGGTGAATCGTAGTTTTTAATTGGTGGTGTATTTGCAGGTCCTTTTATATTGAGAGTTAACAAATTTTCATCCGGTTGAATGGCTGCTTGATACAATTCCTCCGATTCGAGCCGAAGTTCTTCTAGTGCCTTGTTTTGACTTTGTAGAATATTCCTGCAAATTTGATGCAGCTCCAGCTTTTGTTGGCGTTGGAAGCGAGTCCAATCTTTCTGCAGCAAAGCTCTAGATTCCTTTTGCTCGTCGCTCAATTGAACTGGTGGACGCTTACGAGCACTGAAATTTAGACAGAAAGAAAATGTTATTGAATTGTTCATTCAAAGTGGCAAAATAAACAAAATTAAATTTAATATGATATTTACATTTGATCTTCTATTTTGTGCAATTCTTTAGGCTTCTCAATTTCTTCGATCGGTTTCAATTGTCGACTATTTTTTTGCAGACGACGGATTTGCTTCTCGATTTTTTTCTTCCTTCTGTCGAGACGAGCCTTGACGATGGCCGGATCAAGACGTTTTTTCTTCTTCATTGGTTCACCGCATACCACTGGTGTCATGTGGAACTGTTGTTGTGAACATCTTTGTATGCCTTTGATAGCATTGCTAACACATAACCTTAAGGAAAAATTAAAATTTCACAATAACAAATTTGATTCGCAAAAAATGATTAGCTAATTGAATTTACTTGGAAAATGCAGCAATCAAGGACATTGTTTAAATTCTGAAAATAACAATTGATATATTTTTCAAAATCAGTTAACTATTTTAAATTATTTTTTTTTTTTTTGGTTGGGCATATCCAAAATACAAAACTACTTATGCCACAACCTATAAATGCAGGTACGACGACACATTTGACATTTCGAATTGTGACATTTCGACTGTCTTCATATTTCAAACATAGAAGTTGTAACAACACGGTCAACAAACGACTGCTAACGCTTGAGCAAGTGCGTACATTTCAGTAGACTGTGTAAAAATCGAAATAAACAAAAAAAAAAACAACAACGCGCGAAAAAGTAATTTGACGAAAAATGGATTACCGATTTTTCATTGATCCAAAAATGAAAGCATCCAAGTATTTGGTGTATAAATGTGACAGTTTGCCGATTGAAATGGTATTAGCAACGGATAAAATGAACGCCAACTCGTATGAAGACTACAATTTCTGCATTGAAAAGCATAAAACAATGAATCTAATCCAGATCCGACTGAGCAGCGTGCGTGATAATACGGCCGTATTCATTTGTACGATCGATAATTCGAAATTTGAGCATTTCAAAGTGGAGCAATCGTTGTACGTAACATTTGAGGCGTTTGTGAATCACATCACGGAAATGGTCGAAAAGTGCCGCCAGAAGCAGATGAATATGTTGCTAACGATGGTGAACAATGGCTTTGAACCGAACAAACAGCAAAAATACCGATTGCAATTCTACGAGAAGGGAACATTGAAGAATCTCGAGCACATCAGCCTACCAATCGAATCGGCACCATACGAAGTCATTTTGTTCCATATTAATCAAACGTGCGCCTATTCGCAAGAAGAAAACCGAATACTGATGCAGAAAAATAACAATCTTCAATTGGAGCTGGCTCAAAAGGATGAACAAATTGGCCTGCTGAACGGTGTGATCAATGGGCAAAAGCATAATTGGATTGAACAAGAGCGGGTGTTGAAAGAACGATGTAAGGAACAATTGACTCGACTCGAAATCGAAATCAAAGAGCTTAACGATGGAAAAAATTACCAATCACAAGAGTTTGAGAAGCAAATATCCGCATTCAAGGCACGTGTCGAATCGTTGATGAAGGAAAACTACACGCTGACCGAACAACTGCAGAACGAACAAAAACAATCGGCCAAACTGCGCAACGATGGCAAAAAAGCATTGAACCAAATAGCGAATCTCAATCAACAGCTCGAGCAAATGAACGGAGAACGGATGAACCAACAGAATACGGTACAAAAAAATGATAAAGCGGTAGCGGATTTACGGAAGCAAATCAACGATCTCGAACAAAAAATGATGATATACAAGAAACAAAAGCAAGAATTGCTGGCTGAACTGGAGGCAGAGCGAAACATATGCCAGATCAAAAAGGATGGCTTGAAAATGGCCACCGAAGATATTTGCAATGCAAACTCAATCATTCGCAAGCAGGCGGCTGAGATTGATATTCTGCGAAAGAAAGTTGAACTACGCACCGAAGTGGCATTGAAACAGGAACAATTGCTTCGAGATGCAAACAAAGGGAAAGAAAACATGGGCAATGTCATTGGGAAAATTGATGAGGCGTTAAAAAAAAATACGGAGCTAAGCAAAGACACGGAAAATCGCATCCAAGCCATTCGAGACAAGACTAATTTGATTGAAAGCAAATACAGAGATCGCATCGATGACCTATACGACAAACTGTGTACCGTTTCACAGCCAAAGCAGTCACAAAACAACATCAACAATGCATTTGGCTATGGCTACTAAAGCATAAATTCTTAGATTTTTATTTCATTTGAAATGTAAATATTCGCACGATTCGTTCATTCAAAGTATAAATAAAATTATTTTTATATCGAAAAAAAAAAACAATAAGAGAGTTATTTCCATTGGTAGTATTCAATCCAAGCAGTCCGTTGTTGGCTTGTTCGAATTTCGAATTCGTAAGTATTCGATTGTACGTAGGTAGGACTTTACGTAAAGTGTTTGTTGTTACGTATGACATTTGTCGTATATATTTTTCCCCATTGTGAGTAAACTACTCGATGACTTATAGACATTTGGAAAATCAGCAGAAAAAAAAGAAGTGCAACTACACTTGATAGCTTGTGTTAAGCACTAATTCACTGCATAGCGAATAAAATCATTCCAACAGGATAGTTGTACATTCTGTATTTATTACAATTTAGTTTTCGCTTCAAATTTAGATATAAATAACAGGATAGTTTAATGGACGCCATCGTTGGAGAATCATATGTGTCAAGAACTCATAGCGATCGAAATAATACGGCTTCAGATGAAGGCGGTTCGAGTGATAAGAATACTCGCAAAAACACTAAATCAACTAGCAGACGTCAACCAGAAACAACATATGGCGTAAGTACAAAATAGATATGAAAAAAAAAACCAATGATGATACTGTGAACTAAACTTGTGTTTGTTTTCACGAATAGGGAATGGATGAAAGGCAGCCAAACATTGTTAATGATAACGAAGAGGTAGTTATACGTAGTGGGCGGCCCAGCGGAAGTAGTGGCGATCGTCATCCGGGTGGTCCAAGTCATGCAGAACCAGGCGATGAGGAAGAAGAAGGCCTTAAATACGGCGCTCAACATGTGATCAAACTTTTTGCACCGGTTTCATTGTGTATGCTGGTCGTTGTTGCAACCATCAACTCCGTGAATTTTTACTCCACAAAAGATGTGTATCTGTAAGTGAATCAATTGTCGTTGTTTGATGCGATGCATGTTTAATGAATGCGTTTTTCTGTATATTTTTAGAATCTACACACCGTTCCATGAACTGTCGTCAGACACTGGTATGAAGATTTGGGATGCGCTCGCCAACTCACTGATCCTAATGACATTCATCGTTCTTATGACCATTCTGCTGATATTTTTATACAAGAAACGATGCTACAAAATTATTCACGGATGGCTCATGCTCTCATCCTTTTTGCTGCTATTCATTTTTAGCTACCTGTATCTAGAGTAAGATATTGCCTATGAATGATGAAGAATTTTGATTTTTGTTTGGAATTTATCGATTTTTAATTGATTTGATTGTGCTATATTTTAATATTTGTTTTCATCATTCGCACAGAGAACTCTTGAGAGCCTACAATATTCCAATGGATTACATTACGGCACTGATGATCATGTGGAACTTTGGAGTTTGTGGAATGATGTCGATCCATTGGCAAGGCCCATTGCGACTGCAACAGGCTTATTTGATATTCGTAGCCGCACTGATGGCATTGGTATTCATTAAATATCTACCCGAAGTAACGACATGGGTTGTTTTGGCTGTGATTTCTATCTGGGGTCAGTTTTTCTTCCATTTTCTTCTTAAATTTAAAACAAATGTTTATGGATTTCATTTTTGTTCGACTTAGATTTGATTGCTGTTCTGTCGCCGAAGGGTCCATTGCGTGTGCTTGTTGAAACAGCACAAGAACGTAACGAGCAAATCTTTCCAGCATTGATTTATTCTTGTAAGTTTACAAAAATGTTCTTTTAATATTCTGCAACAAAATATTGATATATTCAAAATGAGAATATTTTTCTGCCAAAGAAACACTTTAATTAAAATGATATTCTCCCATTAGCTACTGTTGCTTATTCGATTATGACCACGACTGAATCGACGGATGCGGAAACTGGTGAGAGAAATGTCAGTAGACGGCGTCAAGCTGAGCCAACAGCATCACCAACGGCATCACCAACGGCAGAAGGTACGGATTTTCAAATGGTCACGTTTAAAGAGAATGGAACGATTAGTAAGCAAAACCAAAACCCAAAAGACACACACATTTAATAAGCAAATTACATGGCCATGCACATTGCACACACATTAAAATCGTCAGGGGAATCGGTAGATTTCAAAATTGTTAATAATATTTTATTTTCGCGTCAGAAGCTGGGTTCTCTGAAGAGTGGTCTTCGACAAATGAAGAACGGTCACGACAACGTCAAGTGGAGGTACAAGCTAACATTGCTAGCAATCCAAATCGGCCAACTGAATACCGCACAGTGACAGCACCACAACAGCCGCCACCTCAACAAGAAATGGAAGCTGAAGAACGTATGTGTTGCTTAGAACAAAATCCATTTTTTGCGCATAATTTCTATTCCTATGTCTTTCCTTGTCTTAAATTTTTCTATATCTACTTATTTTGTTCGATAGGCGGTATCAAACTTGGATTGGGTGATTTCATTTTCTATTCGGTTCTTGTTGGCAAAGCATCGAGCTATGGTGACTGGAACACAACCATTGCATGCTTCGTTGCAATTTTGATTGTAAGTTCACACCATTGGTGAATATAAATGGAATTTTTAAAAGAAAAAAAATAATGACTAATTAAATTTATGTGATCTATTTCCATCAACAGGGTTTATGTTTGACATTATTATTGCTGGCCATTTGCCGGAAGGCGTTACCCGCTTTGCCCATATCAATATTTTTCGGATTATTATTCTGTTTCGCCACAAGTGCATTGGTCAAACCGTTTGCTGATCATCTGTCCGCCCAGCAAGCGTTTATTTAACGTCAATTTTAATACGATTCTGAGCGATGAACCTGTCTTTTTTTAAACATTTAAATTTAAGCGAGTTATCAATAATAAATTAATTTAGGCTATTTACATTTCAAAATAAAACAACAACAAATATGCTCTGAATTTTTTCCCCGTCATTAAAAAAAAAAAAATTACTAAATTTTAAAGCGACAACAGAAATGACCGAATTGAAAAACGGCTCAAATCGGTTTATCTCACACTGTAAACATTATTAATCGTTTTTTTATTTACAAAAAAAAAAAATTAGGTGCGCCAGTCGGTCGCCACAAATGTAACTAATTTCGGTATGACGTCCAAGTCCAATGTTTTCCAAATGGACGCATGACTGATTTTATTTAAAATTCGAAAAAAACATTCAAAATTTAATTTTATTTCCGCATTAATCAAACAGAAGAATATTTAAATTGTATTTTCAAAGGAAAATAAATAATATCGACAGCAGCGAAAGTGTTTTTAATTTTTTTTCTTTTGCAAATTTGAACGATTCAAGTCATTCTTTGTAAGATGAAATTTTGTAGCTAATCGCAGACGATGAATTTAATTTTTAATTTTGATGATTATTTTAACGCAAATATTATGAACTGAATAAAAACGCTCTCAATCTTTTTGCTGAGAATGCCATGAAATGGAAGCACAGGAAGAATATTTACCATATATGCAAATGCCAGGTGAGACACTATGTGAAAGTACTAACAAAGGAATGTACCTACAAGATTCTGACTTTTCTTCTGAATTGCAACAAAAATAAACCAAATCTCACTTTTTCATGTCATCTTCGGTATTTGTTGAAATTCGATAGTTCAAGCCATGCAGATTATCATCCCAAAAAGATTCAAATTTGCCGACATATTTGGGATAAGGAAGCTTTTGTTACAAATGTATAAAAATTGACGTCTATATGTACGATTCAAGTCGTCCTGATCCAGTCGTCCAAATTCCACAGCATATTTAATAATTACGACCAATTTTTTTTTATTTAAAATTCGAAAGAATAAACATTTATTAGATCCTTATTCAAGTTTATAATTTTATTTTCGCATTAATCAATCAAAAGAAAATATAATTTGCATTTTCAAAGAAAAATAAATAATATCGATAGATATACTTTTTTTTTTGACAATAATCAACATTTTGTGTTTTAAAAGAGAAACAATGAACAAAGTTTTTTTTTATTCTTATGTTTATGTTGTTGGTTTGTTTTTTCAATGACAATTCCTTTTACCGCTTATTTTCTGTATGTCTGTCTGTCCGTCTGTTTTTTTCCTTCGTTTGTCACATTTCATTTTCTATATTTAATTATATTACTCTCTCAGTTTACTTATGATTTTCATGTCTTAGTCGGTTTTTTTTTTTTTTTTTGAGTGAATTCATGTGTCTGATGAATTCAAAGCGGGAAAAAAATGCTGTTCTCTATATTGTTTCTGTTGTGTATGTATGTGCTTAACCATTCTAATGGATTACACGGGAAATCGAATTCAGATTCGGATTTGTTATGATGTTGTTGCCGTTGAAGACGGTGCTATTGTGATGGGCCTGGTTCATTGACGATTTCGTCATCAGCAACAGAGGTTGTTGACGATATTTTGTGACTAGTTGGTGTAATGTTATCGCTGGTGTTACTTGTGTCGCTGGTACAATTATTTTTCGGTTGAGTGTAGCGACTTGAACCAGATTCCGATTCAGCCGTTTCATTTTCTTCCAAATGCTGGAAAATATCCATTAAGTGATACTCGATTTTTCTTAGCAATTTGCGTTCGATGTCCTTCTCTAGGCTCTGATCATTTTCGGTGGATGTGTTTATTGGCAATGAATGTGATTCGGGCGATGATCCCGTCGATACCGACGATGAATTCGATAAGCTGGTGGGTGATGTGGATAGATTTGGTTTCGGTGGTCGCGGTTCAATCACACTCTTTTTACCATTCATTTCATCGTCCTGCGGCTGATCGTCAATGTCAGTGCATTCGGATTTCAATGATGTGTCTTTTTCATCGGATTTCGGTGTCGATGTTGTTAGCGACGTTGATGCGCTTTGTTCATCCTTTTTGTTGCTCTCGTTTGTCTTGTTTGTCGACTGAGTTTCGTAAAAATCACTGTCCGACGACGACGATTTACGCTGCTTTTTCATTGGTGGTGGAGTTGAATCTTCATCTATTGGACATACAAATTGGTAAAATGTTTAGGTTTTTTGACGCAAAATAAGTGATTTCATAATTGATTTTCAATCAAAATTTCAAAATAAACATTTCCATTTCAACATACCTTCCAGAGGTGAATGTTTGTCTTTGAACCGTGAATAAAAAGTCTGCAAGCAACGTTTCATTTCACGCAATGTAAATGTGGGTATTCGAACACCTCTTTGAGTTATCGCGCACAATGCCAGCAAATCGCCGCAGATTTCCTCATAGTTTTCTTTCGTAAGTAACGTTTGGCATATGGATTCAATCATACGATCGATATGTAAAAGCGAGACCTGTAACCAAATTCACATTCGAATAAATTAGTAGCGTTCCAAAAAAACTGAGTTAAATTTTTGTTTTCACAATAGGGAGCCATACCTTTGGAAAGTATAATTCAATGAATGTCAATATGATTGGATCATTGAGCGAAACTCGCTTTTCACGGAGAATTGCATAAATGTAATCGATAAGATTTGAGTTTGATAGCAGCAATTCGATCCATCTGCAGAAAAGAAATGAAAATCGTTTTGTCAATTATTCGATAATTAATTGAATCAATATTTAAATTTATTGTAAATAAATATTGGATCGTGATTAAAGTATTTTTCCCAAAATCCACTTGAATACGTACTTGTGCGTGGTTTTGTTGTTGTGAATGCCGACCCAAAATCTGGGGAATAGATTGAAATGCATTGCAGCACCTTCAATACCAGCCAAACAGTGAAGATTAACAAGCGATTCGTTGAGTGTGTTCATATTGACAGCCATTCGCATCATAACGTCCAAGAAATCGTGGTACGGGCGATAGAATACGTCCAAACCGGCATCAAACTCCTTGTCAACGCCACGTTGAATGATTTGTGATTGTGGAACGCTCATTTGAACCATGGAGCTCATTGAACGTGGTGGTCGCGGATGATTCTTTACGATATTATTGTATTGTGCTTTGGCACTGCTACGCCGTGGAAAATATGGTCCAATCGGGCCGATAATATTCGGTGAATCTTGAGCTTGCATGTGACATGACAGCAGCAGTGGACACAAAATGCCAATGACTTCGAGATTTGGATTTCGTACCAATTCTGTGAGAACATCAAGAGCCAAACTACGCATCTGCGGTGGATTGTGCGTATTAAGTAGAGTGGCCAGTCGTCGCACAGCGTCCGGCAGATGTTTCAGTGCACTGGCTGGTGGCCGTTTCTTTTGTTCGCGTGCATTTATTCGCAATGCTTTCACAAGCAATGCCAATTCCGTTAACAACTCTTGTAAATCGCCCGACACATGACACGCCGTTGCCTCATGATACATGGAATGTAGAGTTATCAATGCTTCGAAGCACATCGCTATTCCACCATTGTACACAACAAACAATCGATCGTCGTCATTATCAACCAAAATTCGTAGCGCTGCTATCAGTGTGCCCCACGAAACGCGAGCATCGATGCCAGTTAAATAGGCAGACAATGTGGTGCGGCGGAATGTCGCGATTTCGCGTTGTTCAGCTTCTGTATCGTCTGCATGTCGAGCGGCAAATAGATTCATCAATGAGAATAGCTCGTCAACGGC